ATAATATATTACAAAATGAAAAATAAAACCAACCTAAGGATTAATTTTGTTCTTGAACAGGTCTACTTAAACAACCATGTCAGACTTGATTAAAAATGTGCAATTATATTTCAAAATAAATCATTCCTTGGTATCTAGCTCCAGTTTGTTTCATTTCATGTCATCTATATAGAAGGGGTCAGTCAATTAAATCTATAAAGCCAACAACCATATTCATGTTCAAATAACTTCCTGTGATTGATGTAACAGACCACACTATTAGGCCTGAAATTGGGCTTTGGAATACACTTGATGTACTTTGGAATCTGCAAATGCTCAGTAAATAGTTAGGCAGACTTTCTCCCCTGACTTCCATGATGAACTTAAAAACTAGGCTGAACGATTCTGGGATGGGAGGAGTACTGCTTCTTAGCTTTGTGTCTTTAGGAATTAATTTACATTGCTTTTTCTGAAAAATATGAAAGCTTAAATGTAATCCAGGAACTGGAGCTTAAAAAAGCCCTCTGCCAAATAGGCAAGGCTTGCAATGAAATCTCCCTTATCTCAACCAAGCAGCTCATCATTTAACCAGGAAATGGAAGGGAAGGACCATTCTCTCTCCATTCCTGTTTTCCATGCATGGTTTGGATGGTTCCACCCTGAGGCTCGGCTGAACGCAGTGTTCAGGTTGGGACAATGTCCCGTGCCAACCTGCGGGGCTGGACGTGGTGGGTTGACTGGTGGTGGGAAATGGCACACAGCAGTGCGGCTGTCCTCACGACACAGTCCTCCATGCCCCTTGCACCACACAGCCTTAGCAAGAGTCAACTGCCCCCTTCATCCTCTCCCTCTCCTGCCACAGCAAATATAGGCCTGGCTACCAGCCCACCCCTTTCCCAGGAGAATTCCATCTTGCTTATCTCTCATCTCTTTCAGCTCTGGTGCCTGACCATTACTTCCACTCCACCTGCCGTCATGGAGCAGCACCATATTTCTGTTTAAATGAATGTTCATTAAATGCTTCTTGTCCAGGGGCTGAGTGGAAGACTAGAAATGGACAGGAGGATCTAGGGGTTGCTAACAGTTTTCCCCAGAGTACAGGAAGGTCAGCTCTCCCAGGCCTCTCTGTTGGGTGCTCTGTAACCATCTTCTTAGTTCTTTCCTGTATCTGGTGCATGTTTCTCACAGGATGATCTTCTGGCCAGGCTAAGGCATCCGCAGCCCTTCTGGTGCAGCAGAGCCTTGCGGCACAGGCTCAATCACCATTTCAGCCAGCCCCTCCCATTGCTGTCACATGCAGCTCTTATCAGGGTGCTAATACTGTGGCTAACGATGGCTATGTTCTTGAGGCGCATTAAGAAATCTGGAATATAGCCCACGGCTAGAGCTCAGATTCTGCAACAATAATGTTTACATTGGCAGGACTTTGAATAGAAACTCACATTCACTCCAGCTGGTTGGCGTGATTCTAGCAATTAATTCAGCTTTTCCAGTGGCAAGAGTTTGTTGATACAGCTTGTTGCTCTTCCTGTTGCAAAACACATCAATAACTCGGAAAAAAAACTGCCTACACAGTCACAGAATCACAAAAGTGTGAAGGTTGGAAGGGACCCTCTACTCTGCTCTTGTGAAGACCCCACCTGGGGTGTTGTGTCCACCTCTGGGGCCCCCAACATCAGAAGGACATGGACCTGCTCGAGTGGGTCCAGAGGAGGTCATGAAGATGATCAAGGGGCTGGAGCACCTCCCCTATGAGGACAGACTGAGAGAGTTGGGGTTGTTCAGCCTGGAGAAGGCTCTGGGGAGACCTTCTAGCAGCCTTCCAGTACTTGAAGGGGGCTTATAAGAAGGGGACAGACTTTTTAGCAGGGGCTCGTGTGATAGGACAATGGGTAATGGTTTTAAACTGAAAGAGGGTAGATACAGGAAAGACATTTTTTATAATGAGGGTGGTGAAACACTGGCACAGGTTGCCCAGAGAGGCAGGAGATGCTCCATCCCTGGAAACGTTCAAGGTCAGGCTGGACAGGGCTCTGAGTAACCTGATCTAGTTGAAGATGTCCCTAGTCATTGCAGGGGCTTTGGACTAGATGACCTTTAAAGGTCCCTTCCAACCAAACTATTCTATGATTCTATGACATTTGGAGGTCATCTAGACCAAGCCCTACTCAAAGTCATGTTAGTTACAGAAGTTGCTCAGGGCTGCATCCCGTTAGGTTTTGAATATCTCCAAGAAAGGAGACTCCATGATCTCTCTGGGCAAACTGTTCCAGTGTTTAATCTTCCTCCCAGTAAAATTTTTTTATGTTTAAGTGGAGTTTACTGTATTTCAGAGGACATTCATTGCTTCTTGTCCTCTCACTGGGCACCACTGAGAAGAGTCTGACTTCATTTTCTTACTCCTTCACATCAGGTGGTAAGATTCCCTTGAGCTGCTCCAGGCTGAACAGCCTGGTTCCTTCAAGCTCTCCTCATATGACAGATTCTCCAGTCCCTTAACCATCATTGTGGCCCTTTGCTGAACTCATTCCAGTATGTCCATGTCTCTTTTGTACTGGAGAGACCAGGACTGGACCCAGTGCTGCACATGTGGCCTCACCAGTGCTAAAGAGAAGGATCACTTCCCTTGATCTGCTGGAGATGCTTTTCCTAATGCAGCCCTGGAGGCTCTTGGCCCTCTTTGCTGCAAGGTCACCTTGCTGGCTCATGGTCAGCTTGTTGTCCACCAGGACCTCCAGGGCCTTTCTCCCAGGGCCTTTCCTGCAAAGCCACTTTGCAACTGGCTGGCCTCAGCCCGTACTGGTACTCAGGGCTATTCATCCCTGAGTGCAAGACTTTGCAGATCTCTTTGTTGAATCTCATGAGATTGAGTGTTTGCCTGAATCTTATGAAAAACTAATTGGGAAAGAACTGGAGGGGTGGAGATTTAAGTATCTCAGGTTCCCATAAAATCCACACATCACTAGTTATCTAATTTTTTAACTCATGACCCTCACATCTATAAGACCCAGTCATCATCCTGAGCTCTGGAGGCTGTCACAAATCTGAAATGAAGACAAAACCAATCCATATAATGATCAGCTTTGTAAGTTTATATCGAAAGAGAGACTGCAGGTATTTAATTCTTCATGTTGTAATCTGAGTCCTAAAATTTTTTATTTATAGCATTTTTTTTAACAACAGGAATTCTGCCCAAAAATAAATATGTGTAAATGGAATCCTCTTGGTTAAGAATAAAGCATTTCTTTTCTGTATATTTATGTAGCTGAAATTCATCGTTTCCTCCGTATAATATGTTTTTTCTGCAAGGTTGTTCTTTCCAACAAGGCCACACAGCCTCTGCCCTCAGCTCACCTATGGTGAGGAATTAGCATGTCCATGTTGTTTCCCTGAGTATACAAAATACAGCAAAATGCTGGCGGTGAAATGTCACTGACTGGAATTGCCATCAGATTGCCAAATGTCCTGAATATGTTTGGGTTTTTTTTCTTTACCTTTATCGTGATCCTGTTAATTTTGGGGGTAGAAGGGACCTAGAGCTTCATGGAGCAGTCTGAAAACAGCTCTTATTGTCTTCCTCTACTTTTGCCATTCACATTGGACAGTCATCAATTAACAACATGGATTTACACCCAACTGTGAAGATTTGTTACTTTGGGCCCTACCTTGAATCCAGACTTTCCGGTCTATAATGGATGGCTCAGACAGTACATTAAGGACATCAGGAGCATAATCCTGGTTTCTGAGGAGCCAGTAATGAATATGCCTTTGTGTTGGAGGCAGCCTGTATTTTCAAACCATTTGGAGGCCAGGAGTACCCAGGCTTGTTCTTTCATCCACACTGAGAAATTAAGCACATTCATAGAATCATGGAATCACAGAATAGTTTGTGTTGGAAGGGTCCTTAAAGATCATTTAGTTCCACCCCCCCTGCCATGGGCAGGGACACCTTCCACTAGCCCAAGTTGCTGAAAGCCCTGTCCAACCTGGCCTTGAACACTGCCAGGGAGGGGGCAGCCACAGCTTCTCTGGGCAACCTATGCCAGGGCCTCACCACCCTCACAGGGAAGAATTTCTTCCTTATATCTAATCTAAAACTACCCTCTGTCAGTTTAAAGCCATTACCCTTCATCTATCCCTACACCCCCTGATAAAGAGTCCCTCCCCAGCTTTCCTATAGGCCCCCTTGAAGTACTGAAAGGCCACTATAAGGTCTCCTTGAAGCCTCCTCTTCTCTAGGCTGAATAAAACGATTCAAACCCCTTTAGTTACCTTTATTTACCCAAACTCACTGACTAATTTTTAACAGATAAACATAGCTTACTTACTTTTTAGATTTACTAATTTGTTTTGAAATTTCTTTGGTTTCCTTCAGGTTTTATGCCCAAATTTATCAGTAGCACCAAAAATTAGATTTGTCAATAAGGTGTGCGACCAGAATAACCACATTATAAAGTGGATGTAGCAAAGAAAGGAAGTAGAAGTGTTGCTAAAATTAATTTAAGATATTTAAAACTAATTTGCTCACTCCTAACTTCACTGTTGGAGCAGGTCAGGTCATAGTGTCATCATGTCATGGTAGTGTGAATCTCTTTGGGTTCATGAAGATCGGGGCTGCAGATATTAACCTCTCCGCTCCATTCCTTGCATGGCTGGACATAGCCTAGTGCCTTGCCTGGGGCTGCCTTGATGTCTGCATGGTCTGCAAGTGCAGTGCCCTGCACCTCCCTGCTGGGATGCTTTGATTTGGAGGGTGGAAGAATGGCCTTGTGTTTAAGTTACTGCACTGAGATGCTTCGAGGCTAAAAAAGTAGAAAATTTTCTTTAAACAAATGTGGTTTCATCTGACCTTCAGTAAATCGGCTAAACTCAGCTTTCCACTTCAAATTAGGTACTCTCAGGCTCCGTTGGTTGGATACCAGGTGGTAGGAGGGAAAATATGATTATTTAAAAAAACCCCTCAATCCTGCTTCATAGGCAGAGCTCATCTCTTGTAAGTAGGTCAGAGTTGTTACAGAAAACATAGTGGTACTTATAGTAACAATAGGCTCCAGTTTGTTTAATTGATCCTGTTAACATTTAAGACTTTTTTCCCCTTTTAAAATTTCCATTTTGAAGTCAGATGATTCATGATAATATGTTTTTCCTTTTGCAGTTAACACGTTGACCCGGCATCTTGGCAGCAGCACTGGGAAGTGGTGGTGGTCAATCCAGGTCCTCACGCCTCTGAAGGAAGCACCCACCAACGGGTCCCTGGGATTAAGGGGGAAGCAGAGGTTTTAATGAAGCAGACTCCATTCTTCGGAGGGGTGAAGTGAGGTAAGGGAAGCTCCTGTTGTTTATGTGATTATTGCTAATTACTGTAATTTAACATCCTCAGACAGGAATATTTGGTGCCCGAGGTAAAGCTTGTTTATGTCCCTTCCTTTTTTCCAACTATCTCGTGGTGCCCTCTCGAGGTAGGAGAGCAGCCCATTTTATTTGCTATTTTACGGCAGCTGGAACACAAACTGGAAACAGAGACCCCAGTGAAAAAGCTGAGAAATTGCTGTTTGCTTTGAAAAACAAGTTAATTTTCCTGTAACTCGATGCAGTCAGTGTTTTTCAGGTTCCCATTTGAAATAAAACACACCAATCCCTTTGCCTTCAGTTTTTCCACTAGAAAGGAGGGGGGGGGGGGGATGCATCTTCGCAGTGCTCTGAAGCCACAAAGGTGCATTTCTGCGGAGAGGGAGCCAGCAGATGATTGCAAAGCCAGCTGTTTCCACAAAGGAAGGGAACACATTTCTCACAACATGCTCTTGTGCCCTTGAAGTTGAGCACAGAATGCACCAGGAAATGCTGACATGTTTGGATACTAAACTGGATTAGGAAACCTTGACATATTAGGAAGGACGGCCTCTGGGCTCAAGTCAAACAGTGCTTGTGGGGAAGGGCTGTGCGTGAGGTGCCTGTCCCTCCCAGCTGGGGGGAAGCCAAAGGTCTGGGCTGTGATCACTGCTCTACTGTGAAGGACTGCAAGCTGCAGGTTTCTCTTTCCAAGTGACTATTGGATGCTTGGTCTTGAAGTATCTCTTGCCAGCAGATTGTCCTTCCAAAACTGCCTCATCTTTAATCCAGCAAGGACAAAGGACTGGCAATATGGTGGGTCCTCAAGAATCAGTGAATGAATCACTTTTGTTTTGGACTGGGATAGCGTTGATGCTGAGTGCTGGAGGCAAGGACAGCCTGTTTGAGAGATGAGTATGCTGTGGGTGCATGCTGATTTATTAGTAGTCTCCCTTACAGCTGAGGAGGATACATTTAACCTCACTGTGCAGCCTCTGCTGTCAGCTTGTCAGCTTTTCACAAGATCCCACTGGGTCACTCCAGACTGTTTCTATCTGATCCCATTCAGTGGGGGTTTCAGGAGAATAGGCACAGGAGCCAATTGCTGGCTATATTTTGTTAAAGTCCCCAGGGTCCTTTCAGACCTCCTATGAAGCCTGCTACCTCCATTTGCCCAAAATCTCTGTTTCTTTGTTTCCAATGTACCTTTCAGACTAGATGAGCACAGAGTGCTTGGTAGGGAACATTCTGACCCGGGAGCAGCAGAGGCTGTGGCCTGCCATGGAGGTAACTGCACCCCTGAGGCCCACCAACATGGTGGGGTGATAAACGCAACTACTTGGTTGTCTTAGCAAGCAGTGTGACACCTTTTCTCCTCCTGATAGCCTGACAGCTGTGATTTGCTGAGGCACCTGAACGAGTAGGCACCTGGGGAGCAAGATTTTTTCAACGAAGGGTTTTTTGCTCTGGTTTTCCTCTGCTGCTATTATTGACTGCAGACTTCATGACCTACAGCCCATCCTCCATCCTGTCTTTTATATGCAGCTCAGTTTTGGAGTTGGAAGGCTTTTCATGTGTTGATTTTGTGCCTATATTGGATACATTTTAAAAATACTTATTTTTTTTAAATGTCTGTGCTTCTCATAGATAACTTTTGATGGGGACATTTGGAAATAAATGTAAACAAATGCTGAACAACATGCTGAATCTGAAGGCATAAATCCCCTCCACAGAGCTGCAAATTGAAGACTCAAAGCTCCTGTTGTGTTGAAAAGAGGGACTCTTGGGCCCGACAAGGGGTAAGATGTTAATAAAACCTTTGTTCACTGTTACAATAGGGAACAGCTAAGTGTGGTTTGGGGTTTCTGCCAAGTTAACCCTGACTTATTCCCATTGTCACAACTACTGCTAAGAAACCCCTTAACATATTATTAAAGATAAAGAACGAAAAACAGTTAATACTTTTCATTTTGAATGCAGTATTTAAAGCAAAAGCTTTTATTTTAAAAACATCTTTTATTCCCTTTCCCTGTTGCTAGACTAGGGGCTTTAAAGAAAATTCACATTTTATGTGGCATTAACTTTCTTTTTGTGGGGAAGGAACAAAGTTAGCTTAAATGGTCTGAAACTGGCACTGTCTTTAACATCACTGGAGTCTTATTTTATTAAGCACAGGTGTTCTGGATCCCCTGAACACATATTAACCTGGCTTATTTGATTGTTTCCTTCCCTGTGGTCTGTTGGGCTCTGCCCATCCATCTCTTGCCCTGTTGTTAGCTCCTTGGGGCAGGAACCATGTGCAGCACATTCAGATCCATGACCGGACAGAATTGCCATGATAATGTGAATAACAACAACAAAAAGGCGTGGAACAATAAGATAATATTCAATCAGCATTTCAACTTTTTTGTTCAGTGAAGGAAGGCAAAAGAGAGACAGCTTCTGGCTGCAGTCCTGCCTTTCCTTTGCAATCGTACTGTTAGGGAATCAGAGGCTACTCAATACGTGGTCTTGGAATCTCTCTGGATGAGTGTCTGGTTGTAGGAGGCGTTGGTTTAGGTGCATCTCCATGAGAAGCTGATAGTAGTATGATGACAAGTAGTATTGGCAACTAGGGAAGAAATGAAGGAGAGAGGTGGCAGGTGTACCTGGGTACTCTCTGGTCAGGTCAGGATGTCTTGAGCATCAGGGACACAGAGGCCCAGTGGTGTCATGTTTAAGAGCAGGCTGGCAGAATACACTAGGGTGATAGTGATAATTTTTCCAGCCCTCATACCCTCTGCGCTCCCCTGTGCCACCCACTCGTCAGGAAACGTGGCATCTTTATTCTGGTAGAATTAACTAATCAAAATACACTGTTGGCGATTTCAATTATAAATGTTTCCTCCCATTCTTAAAATGTTTCCACTTGTTTTCTTGGCAGGACCTTGGTGATCTCTCCTGAGAGTTCTTTTCACATAGATATGCACAGAATGAATAGTTTATCTCCAGCTCCTGCTGACTTTCATGAATAATTTGATGTAAAAAGCTAAGTTGGACTTCTGCTGTGTCAGATAACTTGGGAGTACCAGCTTCTAATATTCTAGCCACAGACTGAAACAGACTTTCTTGTTTTAGAGGCTAAAGTGGCCTCTCTGACTTCCACTCACCTGCAACCTTTCCCAGAAATTTCCAGTACCTTCCCTTTCCCTTCTTTAACTATCTGGCTGCTGGGACTCCCCCCAAAATGAGAGAGGCTCTAGGGCTTCCAGCTGGCAGAACTTCTCTTGTGAAAAAAAGCTATTTACTTAGACAAAGAAGATTTGATGGGACATACAACCGTGATTTTTACTGTTTCTTGTTCACCTCAGCAGATATATGCCAGAAAATACTGTGGTCACTCCTGAAGGTGAGCAGCTTGTTTTACGGGGTGTATTCATCTGCCCAGTCTCATTTGAAGCCAAACAGAATTGCTTTTCTGAGTAATGTCACACATGTGCATAAATGATTGCAACAGACTGAAAGGAGTTGGGAGTCGAAATAATAGCACTACTTCATCTCTCACAGAGCAGTGCCAAAAAAATAATGAAGCCATGTGAATAAAGAACCAACATAATAATCAAGCTCTAACCATTTTTGGAAAATTAGCACTTCTTCCATAACAGTAACGGCTGCTGGGAAAATGGTACAAAATATTAACTGTCAGGTTAAGCATACCTTAATCAACATGTGCTGAGTCCCACTGATGTGTCCTCAAACCTGTTACTTAAGTACTTGTTAAGGCCAATTAAATAAACAAAATTTTAAAGCCTAATAGCATAAACCACATAAATAACATAAAAGAGCCATAATGGTTGAATGGGTGGGTGTTTAGCCCTTCTTGATTTAAAACAGTGAAGTGCAAAATGTTGGAGCCCTTGAAGGTGATTTCGAAGACGAGGAAGTGACTGTGCTACACAAACAGCAATCAGAGACAATTAAGAGAACTGGGACAAGTGCCTCATTCTCTCTGCAGACTGCATGGGAAATTGCGCTTTACATTTCAGTCTCGTTGCATTTCAAATAAGGCCCCCAGCTATGTCATTTTTCAAGTCCAACTCAAATCAAAAGATATTGCTTAAAATCTTCCTATTACTCCAGAAGTGAAAGGAATGATTGTCTATGCTGATGAGCCAGGAAGATTGTCTTGGAAAGAATTTGACAGTTTTGTCTCCCAGTCCCATTATAATGTTATTACTGCCCCTGAAGAAGCCTGACAGAGCCTGAATGCCAGTGTAAGTACGGGGTAGTTTAGGATGGCTCTCTACCGCTGCAGATTTCATGTTGTTTCTCTGCACAGTAGAAAAGCTGTGTGCTGCACTGTGCATGTGTTTTCTTGTAAAGCTTAATCTGATGAAGAATCTCAGCAGACTGTATAGTAACAAAAGAACAGAAAATACAAGCAAGCTAAAAAAAAACACCATAAAAATGGAAGGAATGGAAACAGGGAAATTTGGAAATAATTATCCCAGTCTAATTATAACCCTATTCCTATGCAGAATGCACAGCCCATGAGTGATACTTTTTCAAGAACTTTCTGATAAGCATGTAAAGGTTTCAGTACATGATTCAGAAATTTCCTGATGTGCTGAAGTGGTCTCACTTTTGTAGCCTTCTTTGCAAAGAGAGCAGTACAATGAGCTTTCAGAGCTCTTGTAGATGTTTTCATTTGTCATAATACTCTGTGGTGCCTAGAAATTAGCAGCTTAGTTTTTAAACGCACTTAAATACTGATTTAAGTGACTAAGTTTCCCCTGGTGCAAATGCTCGTCTGCATGTCATTTGTGTAATACCATAACTTTTGCTGGTCTTTATCCTCTTAGTTATGAATAAGAAGTAATTGGGAAGTAAGATGAACATACTGTATTAAGTTCCTTACTAGAATATCAGTGCTTTTTGATGTGATGTATGTGCAAAACAGACTGTTTACTTAAAAAAACCCCAAACAACCACAACAAAACAGTGGGGCTGGAGGAGGGGTTGAGAGCAGGGCCATGTGCGGGGCAGTGCCCAGCTGTGCTCAGTTCAATGTCAGGGTCTCCGTTTCCTCCCTGCTGCAGCCTGCGAGAGCCCCGACCCCTGTGGAAGCCCAGTCCCAAGGGCCACCTGCTTCCCCTGGCCTCCGCAGAGCCTCCCTGCCTCCAGCTCTGCCTGCCCGCTGGGGAGCGAGCGCTGGCCCAGCCGCTGCCCTTCCCCTGGCACATGTTGGTGTGCTGAGAGGGACACGGGAGGACCGTGAGCTCTGGCTGACCCTCCCTTAACCAGCTCTGACTTCTCTGCTCGCTGCCGTGAAGACTGTAAGATGGAGAGGCTGTGTTGTGTACACAGAAGTGATGCAAGCTTTGTCTTACGGCAATTTTCCCAAAGTAGTATCAATGTCATTCTCATCTTACTATTTTCTTTGCATAAGACACTTTTTTCTTCTAAAGTTTTTTTTTTTTTTTTTTTAATGAAAAGGGCTCTAAATATAACCATTGCATTATAATGCTAATTAATAGGAAGTTAGTAGAAGATCTCTCCACTCAGATACAATCAATGCTAGTAATCCAGGTCATTTTAGAAAACAAGAACCTAAATAAATTCTTTCCAGATTAAAGATTTAAAATTTTACTTTTCCCTGTATAACAATTGACTAAGAGAGGAATTACGATTACAGTGACAAAACCTGGTACTTGCTCTCCTCAATCCACTACATAAGCTACCTAGATCTCTGAAAAGAAGACCAATACCTTGTTGGTTTGTGCAGGCTGCAGAACAAATATGCCCACTGAAGAGGAATTTGTAAAGGAAACAGGCTGCTTCTAAGCCAGGAATTTTAGGTGTCATTTACAAATTGTGATGACCTCAATAAGAAGCCTTTCCCAGTGTAGTGTCAGCAAGCAAGTCCAGCTAGATCACTCACATATGGAACTACAAAAAGAAAGAAAAATACAGAAGAACCATAGTCATTGCTCTCAGAACCTTACCCTGGTACCCAGAATCATGATGGATAATGTCTCTAGCAGAAATCTCATTCATTTCAGTGAGGGTTCCTTGGAAGCTACTCAACTAGTGATGGAAAAATGGGTCCTAACCTGCTTGTTTTAGAACAGCTGTAGCAAAAATATATTTAAGGACAAATTTTGGTTGCAGTAAAACCAATGGGAGTTTTGTGATTTACTTAACTTTTCTTACTTTTTTGTGTACCTCAGATATGTAACTCCTAACTGGAAGGAACAAATTTACATATCTACATAAAAATTATGTACCTAAAAATGCAATGTTTATTATTTTATATTCACTAGTAACTCTATGGGTCTGCATTAATACCTCTCTGTTGTTTTCTGAAATGGAGCCAAAAGGCCAACGGGAGTGAAATACCAACCTGAGATAGCAGCCTAGCAAGAAAAGCAATGCTGTCAATGCAGAGGGACTTCTAGCAGAAGTGACACCTGCAGTTACTGAGACTGTCAGTCCAAACCAGTCCCTGTTGATTTGGTATCCCGGATAAAGATCAGGTCAATTTAAGAGCTGGTGACATGCCATGCAGACAGATGGATAGATTGGTGAGCAACACAGAGACCATGTAGGAGCCTGAATTTTTTAAAAAATAATTTCTGGTTTAGGAAATGCTGCAGTTTGTTTGGTTTTAGATGATGTAACATACTGAACAAACCAGGGACTAGAAGGGGTATTGTTATTTAATGTTGGTGAAGTTGGAATGAGCTGCACAAAAAGGAAGTGAAGAAGGAGCATTTTCTCTGAGCCCTGGAGAGAGTAAGGATGAGAAATGGTAATAGAATTTCCCTGTGCTTTTCTGTGGCAGGGCACACTGGATCCCACATGCTGCTGAGCAGAGCAGTGGAGGGAGTGCCAAAGGTGCTCATCAGAGATGGGGAGGAGAAATCTCACCTTGAATTCTGAGGCTGGAATTCATCATAAACTCACACTTCAGCCTTCCTCTCCAAAGAGGATCAGCATCAGGGTAGGGGCACTGTGAGATGACTCCTCTTCTGGGACAGGGTAGCATTTACTAGACAAGGATAAACTTGGACTCTTATTACAAGCTGGAAAACTGAAACCCAAATGTGAATATCTGATACCAGTGCATTTTGATTCTGAAGAAAATAGTTTAAAAGAGTTTACTTGAATTTAAATATTTACCTTAAGCAGTTTATTTCCTGGCTCACCAAACTTTAGATGGTTCAATTAAATGACTCAACCGTAAGTAAAAGCAGGGCTGCTATGTAAGAATTTACGATTGGTCCTCGCGTGCATCAGCATCCCTTTGACTTACAGTATTTCATCCCTTCTGTTTGCAAAATGAATAGGGTTTTCCCAGGCAGATATTCTATCTGGACTGTGCTGTATTCTGTCTTCTAATAATCAGTCCAAGCTGCACTTCAAACACCACGTTGACTCCATTTTCTGTAATTTATTCATTATTTCTTCCAAAATCCTGGGTTGCCCCATGTATTTTGTCAGTGTTGATGCATATTGGTCAGTCAGGCCTAGAGTCATTCCAGGGTGCTCTTGTGTTACTCTTGTGAAGTCAGCTTGTATTTAACCTGGGAATAACAGTCATAAAAGGCCAAAACACACAAAAAAACCCCCATACAATTGCATCTAGTGCAGTCAATATCATGCTCAGTCACAAACCAGGTTAGAAAGGGACAGGATGAGTGAAGATACCGATAAATGGAGCAAGCACCTAATTTTTGGAAGTGGTTTAGATTTGCTAAATCAGAAGAATATTACCAACAGCGAGCACTGATTTATTGCTGGGTTCATCTCTTTGGGTGCACTAAAGGGATAACAGAAGAAATGACACCAGCAGACACCCCTGTTATAGGTCTCTGCAGAAGAAAGGGATATATTTACTTATTGGAAACTTTTGTTCTCACACATGCATATATTCATATTAATGTTGTAGGATCTGAGTGGGGCCATGCATGTGGCAGTTACAAAATAACACAAGGAGTGTATTTTGATGGCAAAGAAAAATTTTAAAGCAACACCTTGAATGGATACTAGCATATTACATAACTTTTTTAAGTTAATGGAAGAAGCAGCACCTTTCCATTAATGCGCTTGCCTAGGACCACAGTTCTTCTATCAGAGACAAGCAGTTCCTGTTAATTTTGCAGTGAGATGGGCATGCAGCTGCGCTTTTTGGGCTTCCACAGATTATGCTTACAAGCTTAATAACAATTACGTGACTAGAGTACATAAAAGAAATACACTGAGGAACATAAAGGGTATGAGGTTGCCAGCAAAGCAATCGAGTTGTTTATACTGTAGGGTGAAATCCTAATCTCAGGATTTCAACAGTATCTCTAAACCAGCTGACCCATGAACGCTTCCAGTGCCATCTCAGGACAAGACTTTGGGACATCCATCCATCTTCCGTGGCCTTACAGTTCCCACGTAAAGATAACGTGCACGAAGTCCAGGTGCTGGTTGTGTTGTATTCAGGAGGGCCCTGACATGGATCATCAGAGGCCCAAGACCACAGCTCTCAGTGTAGACGTTAACTGTTGGCCCTACCTTGGCTTGCAACGATTGAAAGCAGAACATTGTGCACCACTAGCAGAGAGAAGGAAAACATTACTGTGACCCCAGCTCTAAGTCAGTGATGTTACAAAGGGGTGAATCTGGACTTAAATCTGCCTTGGCTTTTTTAAGGTCAGTGATTCCCTCTAAAGAAAGAAAACAACACGTGCTTGCGTGCACACAAACACACACATACAATAATTAGAAGAATTAACACGGGACTTAGTTTGTGTTGCAAATCAAGATTTTTGTTAAGTGGAAATTTGCCATATGCTCTCCAACACCCGACACAAAGAAGAGCCATTTTACTAACTTCAGCCTCAGTTTTGCTGTAGGATTGGAATGCCCATTGCTGTCGATTGTTCAGTTTAGAGCTTTAAGGTTTATTTTGGGGACTGCATATCAAGGTTACTTGTAAGAAGTTTTTGGAAACTCTCTCTCTCAGGCTGCTGAGCTTTTATTTTGAGAAAAAAAAAGTAACACAAATAATAAAATGCAGAGGTGCCAGAGTGCTTAGGGTAAAGAAGACTTGGATATATCTTCCTTTTTTTTTTTTTTTCTTTTTAAACAGTCCAATTATGTACCACATAGCAGCAACTGGGCTAACAACAGCCATATGATGGAATAGCTTGTAATCCGGTTGTGGGTCTAGCTCCGTGAGCCAGACTCCAAGTAGATGAGTTTTAAATCTCCTTAGAATTAAGAAGGGTTTGGCAACCAAATTAATTGTTTTGGAAAAATCCTGCTTTATGGATCATGAAGAGGATAAAAAGGGAAAAAACATGTCATCTGTAGTGGTTAGTCAGATGTTCTTTTGGAGTTACAACGATTTCCTCTCTAATTCCTCTTCTTGTTGACATTCCCGTTAAAAGAATAATGAGTACTATGTTCGTTGCCTTAGCGCTACTCATCCCTGTGTACATTACGAAATCTTTGCATTAAGCTACCCAAATGGATTGAATCATAGTGTAAGGCAGACATTAAAAACAACTGCACTCAGCTGTAAGCATGCATAAAAGTGAAGTATAAACCGATACGCTATGATACAAGTGATAATAATCACTGGTACCCTGTACAGTAGTTTGTTTCAAAGAGGTGGTGGGGCCCAGACAACCAAGAGCATGCATCTGGATTAGCAGGGCTGAATTACTTTAGTCTTTGGATTTTTAATATTTATGTAGTTACCCTTTTACCAGTGAGGTTGTGATGCTTTGGAAAAATATGTTAGATGTATTATTAATGCCATGTTTAAATAATGGGAGACAATTAAACAACCACTGGGTAATAGTTTCCCAGGTGTATTTCTATTTTATGTATTTTGTAGTTATATAATGTATTCTCACAGAGGCTACATTACTTAATTACTCAATGCTTTTAAAGTATTTTGGTAAAAATAGGTGTGCAAAAAAAGGTATTATTATTTCACAGGTGGCATTAAAGCAGCTTCATTAAGGAGGCTGGTACTAATAGTCCTTTAATACAGAAAGCCAGGAGATGGTTCTTCACATGGTACATTAAACAGTGAAATATGCCAATTTTGACTTGATTTCTATGCTGCTAAACTACCCCACATTCATTTGCTTCAGCTTTAAGCCCTTCCATTCTAGTATTCTCTAGCCGCAGTTACAGAATTGCAGCTTGCTTTTCACCTATCTTCTAACAGTTTAACATAGATGTCTGGGTCCAGTCCATTGTTCCAATTGTATATAGTTTAAAAAGCTCTGCAGTATTTTACTCTTTCCATTATATCTTGGCTTCCCTGAGCGCTCTGTTCGCTGCATTTTGCTTGTACTGGCTCTGTTTTCTAAACCCATTTATGGCTTTTTTTTCTGTACACACTTGTTCATTGGGGAGCTTAAATTGACTTCTCTCCATTCTGTTTCCTTAACTAAAAACGCACCATTAAGGTTGATTGAAGTCTTTTGAAAACACTTCATAAAAAATGAAAGGCCATAAGAAATTAGGCTACCAGTGTTTGCAAATACCTGTTTTCAGCCAAATTGATGGGAAGGAATAAGAACTGAAATTTAAAAATGCTACTGATATATATTTGTTTGGTACTTATTATTGGAAGAATAGAAGAAGCATGTGTAAAACATTTTGAGGAATAAAATATTGAGACATTAACAAAATACACCATGCAGTAGCTTTTTGTTGCAAAAAGCCTTTTCCCTCCAAAACATCAGGGCACAGTTCTGAAGAGAAAAAAATGGCAGAATGAACAGAAGTATCTGGATCAGTCATTTTCATGATTTTCTCTTTTAAAAAAATATTTTTTATTCTTAAATATTTATTTTCAGAGAATACTGAAACTTATTTCTTTTTAAGAGTAACATTTGAACCATGGAATAACATTTATCAGGAATAGGAGGGGTTCTTAATAAATTGCTTTACAAATAGGAGAAAAAGAAAAGTTAATTAAGTCAGCGAAACTTTGAATGTCCTTTCAGCATAAAAACATCTGTGCAGTGGTTGAGGATATTAAGTATGTTTTACATTATGTACATGTACACTTAATAAACAAAGCAGCCTCATTTCACAATTCACCCAAGAGGAATAAGGGAAGTCATTCTGAACAGCATGCTGAATTGTCAGGGAAACTTTTATGGACATATGGAAATGCATCTGCTTTAAAAAGAGAAATATCAAGAGGGATTTGCACAAAGTTAAAAGCAAAGCAAGTGCTTTAGAATCAAAAGTGATTACATTGAAAATGGCAGCTTGCTTGTCAGAGCAGCTGAGACGGCTCCTCACCAAACAAAATACTAATCGTTCCAGCTGTTTCCAGGCTCTCCTAATACTGCCGCTTATCATTAAAAAATATATACTTTGGAACTGTGGAAAGCTCTAAAAGAAAAATTATTTGATTTTAGTTTATTTTTAGACAACTTTTCATGCAACTGCCAAACATATTTTATTTACAAGATGTATTACTTCCATGGCTTTTTCTCTTTTCAGAAATACAGATATTCATTCTGACAGTCATCTCACTAAGTGGAGACATCTAAAATGCAGAAGATTTTCAGACTTCTGTTACAGAACAGTAGGAAAAAATCTGCATAGTGTGAGTTTTACAGTTTCAACAGACTTCTTCCAACAAAAAAAAAATCTTAATATGGATAAAACCCTTACCTAGCCTCAAGATTGAACTTAGGTTTGAATTCTACAAACTTGTAAATGAAAGCTGTTCCCATACTCTGCCTTTAATGGTATGATCCATTTAAGATTTTTGTTCCTTTTTATTTTATAAAAGCAACAGAATAAACCTGCCAGACCTCAAATGCAGTAGTATTTGATTGTGTATGTGAACACAAATTGTAGCATACTGTATCACTTCCTTTAAGAATTTTCCCGTTAATGGAGGAAAAGAGCAGTGACAGCAACAAGCAGAGTAGCTAAGTACAAGGAGGTCAGGCAGCAGCGCTGAGTTCTGCAGCAGCGGTACAAGGAAACCCTGTCAGCTTCCATCCCATTAAATGAGCTATGAGCCATGTGTTGGACTCGCTGGGATTACCAGCAAACCCCTACCAAGCTGTGTGCTAGCTCTTGCTCATATCCTCTATCAATTATTCAGTTCCTTTTATGCAAATAATGTTTCATAGAAGCAATGGAAATCCATAATGGGAAGAAGAGTAATATCCATTTAAAAGAATTAAATGGTAGATGAAAAGTGTGACACTTTGCAGGCAAAAGCGCTCGGAATGGTGCAGTACTGCTAGCTTTTAAATGTCTGCATGCGTGCACAGATGGGGAGATTCAAAGTTTTGTTTGCTTTTTTTTGACTATCAACTTTATACAAAATTAAATAAGAAGGCAATAGACAAAGCCTTGCATTCACAGTTCTGCCCAGGGGACAGTCACAGAAGCGAGGCCTCTGTAGCAGATCTGTCTGTGTTCTTCAGGCTGTAAGCTTTCATTTTGTATTTTACAGGCAACGTATGCAACAAGCCTGGCTGCAAATAGTGTTTATACTAAAGAGAGGCTTCACTGTTCTTTACAGTCAGGAGTCAGAAAAAAACTAAGGGCCATTCCTGCATCCTTTTATTGGGCAAAACGTCCCATCGATTTCAGTGCATAGATGGGATCAATGCTGTAGCACCCTGGCCCAAATTCAGTAATGCAGAGGCAATTCCACAGCTGTCAGGGGACATAAGCCCACTGAGTGAGCTTCCACAAGGATGCTCCAGAAGGCCTGCTTGCTTCTGAGATCCTTCCCACAGAAGAGATTGATAAGTAAATGCAGACAATCCCGGGTGCATCCAGCCAAAGGACATGTCTCTGTTCCGAGCCTTTAAATCCTTGTCTGGGATTTTACTTGAAGGTTTATCCCTTTTCTTCTCAGTAAACTAATTACACTCTTCCTGCTGAACTGTCTGTGGGCTGTTTGACCACGTACGTCTGGGTTTGCACTGGCAAGCTGGGGAGTGTCAAAACCCCACTAATGCCTCTCCACCGCAAGTGCTGTGGTGGAGCTGCTTGTCATGAACATAAACAGGTCAGGGAGGGTGAGAAGACCTCCACAATTCTGTGTGCTCCCACATCAGTTAAAGAATGTCATAATAATTATAATTATAATTATAATTATAATTATATATATATATATATATATATATATGTATATATATAAAATTAATTTTATACCAGAAAACCAGTGTATAATAAGGCAGAAGCACAGAAACAGGACCACAGCCTCAAGGTTTCTATCTGTCCTGCTGCAGCCTCTTTGCCATACTTTGCTAGTGCTACTCTTCGTGTGCAACCAGCATGAATCAAAAGCAAACAAAATGTTATTAAATCTTTCAACTTAATTTTGGGAAACAACAACTAAGTGCTAAGCAACTTTTCATGGCTTGAATCTGTATTTGCTGGAACTCACATGCATGCTCCAGTGTTGTAACTATGTCTTCTAGACACAAAGACATCTCTTCTAAATGCTTTGTAATGTGGGTGCCCTGTGTATTTATGGTGCTTCTGCATTTAACTATCTTTAATTATACTGTTATTTGCAAAGGAAATTTTTTGCTAAACTGGGAGTGACTGAAAGTGTGTTTAAATGGAGTGCAGTTAGCCCCTGAACAGAAATGTGCTTCCATTATAAAATTCTACACTTAAAAAGCCCTGGCGATAGGCAAAGGTGAAATTTAAAATCCCTGAAAGAGCTGGAAATTTGAAAGACTATTACACATAAACATAGATAAGTTCAGAGAATTAAAGAGAAGCAGAGCTATAGGGGGTACATACATCTTTCTGATTTCATGTTCACCACACTGTGCTTTTACAGCCTACGGATATGAAAGCTATTCACCTGTGACAGGCTGGCAGAGCAGTGCTCTCCATCTCATGGCTCATGGAGGCAGCTTGCCACAGAAGCTCCAAATCCTTTCGGAAACTTTGGCTGCTTTAAGGCACAGAATATTTCTACTCAGGTTTAAGCAAGGGGCTTTCCATAGGGTTGAAAATTACACGGCAAAAACCTGCACGGAGTGGTCTCTGCAGAGAACTGTCTGAGCTCACTCATTCCTTTCCTCCCCGCTTATTCCTAGGTAAGGCCAGCTGTTAAGTCTTGCCTTGGAGGGCTGGGACTGACCTTGTACAGAGACCACTAACACAAGGCCATACTGGTAGGGTGAGCAGCCCTACTCTTTTTTTCCTCCACGTGCTACTTTTACAAGCAGTTCACTCATAAAGGGCTATCTTCTGGTTTGTGTAGCTTCTCTTTCTCCTTCAGCTACACATGTGCTTCCCTTTATTTTGGGCTCACCTCAGAGGTACAAACTTTTCCCCGACACTACTGGGTCCTTGTTCAGGTCCCTCTAGCTCTCCTGCAATGCACAAACCTGACTGCTAGCAGGACACCTTTAGATGCAGCATGATCCAAGTCGTCTGTGCAAAGCCCAAACCAGTCACACTCAGACCCTTTTCCCAAGAAGTCCAAATTAATCAGAAAGCAAAAACGAATCAGACCCAAAGGCCGTGCTGCTCCCACAGACCCACGTTGAGCTCTGCAACACTGCAAGTGGTCTTGCCTTGCCTTGACATTTCAAGAACGGGATTTAAATTTTTGATTTATTCTGGTGCAAATGTGCCACGACCCGGCCGAAGGGAGGGGGCAGTCTCGGTTACCTTGTGTACTCATGGCATGTCTCAGTATCCCTGGTGTAGAAAATCAGCAGTACAATAAAGACACCTCGTGGCTGTCCTGCAAACCACACGCGAGACAAAGACTTGCCAGCCAGCAAGGGCATCTGACCACAGGCCGAGTAACAGTCTTCACACTTACTGCCTGCCATCTCCTTGTAAGTATAATTAATACTAACCCCTCTTCCAAATCACAACAAAAAATATCATGTATAAAATGACTATAATAATATCTTAATTGTAAAAATTAAATCATATCATTCATAGAAATTTGATGATGGCTTTCAAATTAAGCATAGAAACTCAAATTATTAAATTAAGAAACCTCAGTAACTCCTGCCGTAATTTAATTTGACCTGGTATGTGGAGTGAAGGCTATGAAAAGTTTATGAAGTCTGAAAGGAAGCTCTTATATTAGAGTACTCTAAAGTGTTCTAAGAAGTTTAATTTTATAGTAACATGGTAAGTTACCAACATATAAAATACTTACGATCTTATTAGAAACTAGCAGATATATAACATATTTATAGTTCTGTATACCAGTATATTTTTTAAAACCCTATATAATCCTGTACACTATGCCCCAAACTCAATATTTTAAAAAATATAATATGAAAAGTTAAATGTATTTTTTTAAGAATAGATGGAATAATAAAGTCCATAATTACATTCAGATGTAGTTTCATTGCTATTCCTTGCATCAGCTCACAAACCCATATATAGGAGAAAGGCTCTATAGATACAGTAAGTGCATCTGTTATAGCAAAGTGGCAATTTTTGTGATTATCTAGAACTGTACTTCTGAAAAGAAAACAAGATCTTGCATAGTAAGTGTACCAGCATAAAACCTTGATCGGAGACATACTTACGCTTTTTCTTCCTCACCTTTACATTAAAATTCATGATAATATAATCCATGGTATTTTCCTAGTTTAGTAAAAAGGAAGATTAACTCAGATCATAATGCCCTTCGAACAAAGACCAACCCACTACGTAGTAAAGGCAGAAAGATCATACTTTGCCCTGTTTTTCCAGTGCAAATCTGAATAAATCATATTGAACTCAGACTTCTTGTCAACTAAATTCTGAGATTTTATTGCTGATTTATACCAGGGTGAGTGAAAACAGAACAAGCCAAAGGGATCTCTTTGTGTCCCATAGGATTCGGATATTCTGCATGTGCATAAATGGTTGTTTCACTAAGTTAACTAATTCAATTACATAACTGATATTTCAAAATAATTATACATTCACAATCACCTTATTAAAATAATAGTACAAATGGCCAAATTCTTCCTTCAGTAACACCACTTAAGGCTGTGGAGCAATCTCCAGGAATATTTTTTTCCCTGGAATTTCCCTAATTTTCACAGTTCTTTTGACTCTTATGGTTCAGTTAGTGTGGAGAGGCTAGAGACAGTTTCAAGTCAAACCACAGAGACTTTCTTTTAAGAAAAATCCATTCATTTAGAGAAGTAATAATAATACATATTTTATACATTAATAACATGATATTCTATCCTATCATGCACTCCCATGACAATAACTTTATTGTGTACCCGTCATGGATGAAATCAGGATTTTACTTAAGTAACTTGGAGATCTACAGCTAATACAGACAAGCCAAGATTTCACCATGTACTTCAGTACATCCCTGTACAAGCATTTTTACAACTTTTTTTTTTTTTTTTTTTAATAAAGATGCAGTTATTTACGAAGATGAAAACCAGAATTCCCTTAGGATCAGATTTGTAAATATGCCTAGGTATTGCTCTGAGGACTAAATATGTTACTAGTTTTAATCCTACTGAAAATCAATGATCCTATTCCCCATACTAACAGGTATTTCACAAATAACAAGCATAGAAATATGCCATTAGTGGTTCATAAACATCCTGTTGCATCTTTTAATGACAATCTAACTTGTTGATTTCTCTAAGGAGAAAGCTTTTAACCCTGTTCCAGTTGTGGCAACATGAAAACAGTACTGACCTAATACTAGGGAGCATGTGTCCCAGAATGTGACCTGAAAGAACCCACAAGATAATAACGTATTATCTTATTATCACTCTCATCTACACGCAGCTGATGGATGGAGGAACTGCCTACTGCTTTGTGCCATCAAAGGATAAAAAGCCAACCCTGTTAAAACACGGGTGTTTCCATTCAAGTTTTTGGTAGAATTTGCCTTCTGTTGAAATATAATTTATAACTATAATATTTAAACTATAATATTTAAACCTGAACAAAATGAAGCCATGAAGTTCTTAATATTTAGAAAGGCAAACAAACATGATGTTCTGTTTTAAGCAGGGTACCATAGTGGAGACTCCAGTGTTAAAGCCAAGTTGTTTTGCACATTAAGCAAGGATTCAGTCTCCTTTTGTACATCAAACAGTGCATGCCTTTGTACATTAAACAGCTCATTACCAGCTCTCTAACAGAATGGGAAAATTCAAGCAAATCCATTTTTGAAGTAAAATGAGGTGAAAGGCAGTCTTGTAAGAGCTTTGCCTTCCTGTGTGGATTGTTTCTCCTCCTGATCATAATAAAAGAAAAATACACATGTTTTAAACATTCAAGGGAAATATATATATTATACATAGACTCCACTTGAATAAACTAATTGGCAGTAAATTTAAGTTACTAATAAAAATCATACACAAGTGTTATGATTAACTAGGTCACACATAAACCTAGGACAAAAATTCAGTTAACTCCAAAGGGTAACTGTCTTAATATGCATCCATCAACCACTCACCCTGGCCTCCACTGCTAATTTTCATACAACATTTCCACATGTTGTAGTGGCTCACTGGCATAAAATTTTTTATTGAATATTAGGTGTCCTAAGAAATGTTATGGCTGCATGGTACCTTGAATATCAACAGAGCAAAGGAGAGTGGGCTGACTTTGGGCATTGAAAGGGCATTGTCAAAAGACCTGAAGCAAACTTAAAACCTTAAAACTTTTTGGACTCTGGAAACTAGATCTTCCTTCCTACACAGATATACAACCAAAGATGAACCTACCACATAAACTAACTCTTTGACTACCAAAGATTAAGGAAGAAATGCATGGGTTCATGTGCTTTCTGGTGATGGAATGCAACTATAAATTTAGCTTAAATGATTACTGCAGTCTTCCCGCTTTGATGTATCAGTGAATCTTCCTTGAAGTTCAAAAAATAAGTACTAATTAAAGACAGATCCTGTAAACAGAAATAATGAAAAGTATCGCATAACAGCATTCTTGTTTCATTTTTCCTTTAGGGTTGTGCACAGAATTTCTCATTATTAATAAAATAAAATTAAAATACAAATTAATAATTAAATATCAGTAACAACTGTAAAATGCTAAGAGATGCTACAAATATCATCTAATTTAAGAAATTTAGGGAAGATAATACTTCAAAGAAATCTAACCACAGTAAACTAAGTTAAGATACCTGAATAGTAAGTCTGTTAAGACACCTGAATAGCTTTAACTCTGCCTGAAGAGATGCCATGAGGGAAAAGGTTAAAAAAAGACTTGATTTGTCCTAAAGCATCACTTAATCTCATCTGGGATGATGTGACTAGCGTTGCTTAATCAGATGCAAACACTTTTATTTTTTTTTACTATCTGAGTGCCTTTGCAATGTTCTTCTAACTTTAGCATGTTGGGTTTAATAAAAAGTAAGACTAAATTGGAAACACCCAGACTATGCATCGTTCTGTAACATTACAACAGGCTGGGAGAAATGGGAAAAGATCAAAGAGCACATGTGTCATGTGAGGAAATGCGAGCAGTGCTATTGATAGAGGATGCTTACTACAGCATCTCATCTGCATTATTTAAAAATACGTGGTCTCCATGTGTTGTTTTTTTAATGTGTGAGGGTCAATCTACAACATGAGGAAAAAGTCATACATGCTGCTTTAAGGCAGAAAAGCCCACTTTTTAAGTACAAGAGAAATACTTGTAAAAGGATCCTGGACAGTATGCAGTTAAGGTAGAATCCAGTCCTGTGAAGAGGCCAGCTTAGATAAAGGCTAGGGGGAATTTAGTTCTGTATAAATCAGTCATGCTGATTAATGTCACTTCCTCTGACCACTGCTTTCTCGTCTGTAACATCTGAGTCAGCATGGCACTACTTGGTTTAAACAAGGTTTATTTATAAAGTGTTTCCCCTCTAGAAGTTTGGTGATATCAGTCACCAAAAATATATGTTCCTTTAGAAAATACTCCTGTCATCTCTGTGCATATGTAAATACCAGTTGAAGATGGTTGTAGAGAAACATATGAGGGAACAAGCCCTTAATTAGCGCTCTCTTTTAATTGGCGAATATGGCCTACAGCTTTTAAACACACTCTTCTAGCAAGAAAAAAATCACAGTTTATACCATGGCATATAATAACATATGAAAGATGCCCAAGAAAAATGCTTGTTTGGGACTAACGTTACACAGAAAGAAATGATGCATACTGATTCCAGAAAGAATCGCTTCACTGACTTACACAACTGATTTTAAGGGAATCTCTTTAGATAGTAAATGTCAGTAATCAAGATGGAAATGTGAAAGTCCTGGTGCCAGACCTGTTTGTTCACTTCCCTGTTGTGGAGAAACTATTTGATATAGTAAGAAATGTTGGTGTAACATTTGGACACGCACTGGCTCGTTTCAGCTGCTGGCAGTCAGTAACAGCAAGATACTGCTGTTTGTATCACAATTATTAGATATATTTAACCACAGCAACAGCTTTACCCTTGCATTTCTGCTTCTGTACTTAATATTTTAATTACTAAACAAAACTGGACTTCAGGCAACAGAAGACAAACCAACCAGAATGTTGTGAGTTAGAACAGGATTAAGCAGGGACTGGGGAGAAACCATCTTATTTGTGTTAAACAGTTGGCTCCATTTCATTGTGTAGCCATTGTTCTAGTTGCAAAATCTTGAGTTGTTGACTAGATGTTTCCTTAGATGCATTGCAAGTTTTATCAGAAGAGAATAAACACATTTTTGATGGATCTGGGAACTGAGGTAAAGAAAATATGGCAGCATTTAGAGAAAGAAAAGTCATGTTTGAAGAGAAGTGCTTTGGCTGCACCCCCCCCTAAAAAAGGACAGAGGCAGCACTGTTTAGGGCTCGTAAGAGCCTCACCTGCCCACATTTTCTGTGTTGCCCTGATGGAGCTGACTGGTTCAAGAAGCAGCACTGTGATGCACCAAATGGTTTAGAAGATTAGTTGCTGCTCCTTTGGCTTGCCTAAGAGCTCTTTCTGCGTGGATGCTCCTAATATTTGCTATAATTCCTGTGTTCTTAGACTTACCTGTAACACAAAATATACATGGATATTCTCCCTGCACAGCCTCTCTCTAGCTGCCAGTCATCAAGTACTGCACTCATTCTTTTCCTTTTCATAATTTTCCTCACCACAACCATGTTACATCATTTCTTTTCCATTCCTAGCATAGTTAAGACTTTAATGTACAGACTGAAATTGGTTGATAAATTTAAAAAAAAAAAACCAAACAAAAAAAACCCCAAACCACAAACCCAAAGCTTTTGAAAGCACTTAAAGGCTAATTCTTCTATCAATGATCCAGACTGAATCAGAAGATCCATCTTAGGGTGAAGAACGGACAAAGATATGTATTCCTCCAGAAAACACATTTCTCAGCTCTGGGAAGGTTGTGAGAAACTTACAGACTTGCAAGATACCCAAGAAAGATAAAAATGTCCATGTTAAAAATGCTTTATATGGCCATATAATATGTAGCATGAGGGAGTATAACTATGTTAAGCATTCAGGAATACGTAATCCTGTTTGTTTATGCTTACTTTCATTTGACTTATTCAGTAAAGGCTCTTCAAGTTCATGACCAAATACAAGATAAAAGCCATAAATGGTTGATGTTTTCATTCAGATTCCCATTTGTTATTCTGAGAGAATTATTTCTTATAAAGTCTGCTGGCAGTGCAGGAAATCCAAAGTCCTCTGGAGAGTTTGCAACTGGAAAAGCCTTCTTAAAAAAAGGAAAACCAAAAATAAAGATTACATATCTTGGTCTTTATGATGGAAATACCGTTTTGCTTTTGCAGTGATATAATCGGTAATGATCAGGTTTTTGTGAGTAAAGAACTGTAGGATCAGTCTTAAAATTACTGTTGTGAGTTTAAGATTCGACTATTGCGCTTTCTAGATAAGCTGTCAAATGCAGAAGCTATGCAAGTTGTGTACATTAAAAAAGCACCAGTAGCTACAAAATTCAAATGCTTGAAATAAAATTGTAACCCCTTCAAGAGCAAAGCTACTGTAATGCACTGAAGCTGTTTTTACTGAGAAAGATGGAAACCAATACATTTCCAAATGTAAACCCATTACAAGGGATGGCTGGCAGGGGGCTGATAAAAATTCGGTTTTGGAAGGATCTTTATAATATTTTAAAATATTTAGCAGTTCATAAGTCTTGGTTTGTGACAACCAGTTCTTGTAGTAATGGATTTAAGGCTGTCTGCCAGTCTGTCCTGAGTTGTTAATTTTGTTAAAACTGGGTACAGTACAATGACAATGGTGATTGATTTCCTCCTGTAAATCATCTCTAATTCAGCAGTGACAACATAAAGAGATTTAATCAATGCATGAAAAAAAGAAAATATTATGATGTACAGAGTGTTCTGGTGTCTACCTAAACCAGTACTAAATAAAGTGTTAGCCTACTTTCTGCTGGGAAAATCTCTTTTGAAGCTTAAGATCAAAAGCACTTTTTAAGCTTAAACAACACCATACGGTTTCAATTCTTGCTTTCTAACAAGCACTTTAAAAAGCACAACTAAAATGCAACTGACAAACTTGAAAAATCTTTTGTGTTGTTCCACTCGAATGATCTAATGAGAAAATGGCTCAGTTCTGTTGTAGCTAATGAGGTATAACATCTTCACTGAACCTGAATATAAAACAGAGATTTCTCTGAAGATATAGTCTTAACATGCTTCTATTGCTTTACTCATTCTGCCATGTTTTTATTTAAGTGATGTCCAATGAATAAAAGCACAGGTCAGTTTTGAAATAAAACATTTACACATGAAATTACTCAATCCCAAAGTGCTTTGAACTCTGTATACATGCACTGTGGCTTCAAGTGGGAAAATGTGCTTCACTAACTTACAAAGATCCCGAGTCTGGAAACAGAGATATTAATGTAGCCCGACAGAGATCTGTGATAACACAATTTGACAGATGAAGAACCCAAGTGTACCTGGATTTTAACCTGTCTGGTTTCAGCAGTGACTTACTATCAATGTGAGGACTGAGATTTCATAAAACAGTGAAGATACCACTAATAGCAGTATCAAATAATAGCATTTATTCTGGTTGTACCTAGAAGCCAATATTCTGGTAAAGGGCTTTCTTTATACAATAAAATACTTACACCAATAAATTTATACAACGACACAGTAAGGACATAACCCATAGGTGTGGAAAGCATAAGATAAGATAAAGGAGTTAGATTCGGTGCATCAGATAGTATTTTCAGCTCAGCTACAGTTTAGATGTAGTTGGGCATGGCGACAGCATAATGGCTGTAAAAAATTTAAGGAAACAATTGGAGTAAAATAACCTTTTGGTATAGGTGTCCACTGGTTTTGCTTCTCATCTATAAAGCAAAGAAGTTTGAGGAAAACCTGGACAGGTTGATGAGGACGGGAGAATAAAACCAATTGTACTGATGCTTCTCATCATCCTTTGTACTTTGTATGTTTCAGATGTGTAGAAGAGCTGTTTCTGTGCTCCATAAATGTGAAACTGAGACTTGAAGGGAGAACTGGCTTGCACAACACTGAGTGGGAACAGACTCTAGATCTCCTCATTACTCTATTGATCTGTCTGGGGAAGCCGATGGTTAAAATACATACTGCAGTCTTTGAGCTGGAAGGAAAGAATTCTGTTCATCAAACAAATCTCCAGAGAAGTTTCATGCTGTGATACAGAAAACACAGGTCTGCTGTGGGACAACAAACTCTTTCAGTGAGTGGGGTCTTAGCGATAAACAGAACGACAGAGACAATGAACCTTCTGTTCGCGGGAGACACGTGCTGGGCTACCCTCCTCTCTGACTCCTTGCTGTTGTTATTGTTATTCTTGTATTTAGGAAACCTAACAGTGAATCCTACTAAAAATCTCTGTTCCAGTGAATTTATACTGTAAAATGCGATGAGGCACACCCAATGAATGCAGACAGACTGACAGATGGGTGAGCACAAGAAAATAATGAGCAATAAAATTGGTCAGTGTGACAGACAATGGTCACAGCAGACGCCTAACTGTTGTGAAGCTTTCTTTTGGTTTCACAGTCAGTGAGAACTTCGGGGCAAGGTCTGGAGGAAAACAAGGTAGCTTGTCCAGAGAGCCCCTTCTCAGCAAAAGGAGTAGCAAAGGTAGAAATATGGCAGTGAAAAAGGGATGTTGATGACCAGTAACAGTGGTCAGCTCATGGTAAGCAGTTGCATCTCAAGGCCTCACTCTCAGCAAGAAGCATGGGGATAGACAAGGCTGAACCGCAGCAATGGACACAAGTACTTCAATGAGGAGGGACAGTGAGAGCTAACAGAAAGCCACAGGCTTACAGGCAAAGCAATAAGTGAAGAATATTATCTGTGCTAAAGTATTTCCAATGGATGCAGATGGGACAAGATGGTATCTTTCAAGATAAGACAATATGTTACATTATCAAATTATAGTAGAAAATAATTATGAAGGTAGCTATCAGCAAGAAGAGAAATAGGAATCTGGTGTGTCAAGAATCACATTTACTGAGAAAAGATGGACAGAGAAGTTATAGCGGTGAATATTAAACCTGAAATTACAGTTTAAAACATTGATACAGCATTGCTGTGGTACTGCATTATGTAGTAACATTATGAGGTAAGAGAATTAGGTTCCTCTTAAACTTTTATAAAAAATTATCAGACGCAGACACCCTGTGAACGTGTGGGTACTCCTGTTCCTTGTTCTGCAGGGACATACTGGCATGGCACTGGTGGTGCATCTGCTTAACCTACGAATGAGGATTTGGTTCATCAAACGTGACCTGATTCTACCTGTAGACTAGATTATCTAAAAGCTGTCTAAGTGCACAGAAGTATGAACTGAGGTTGAACCCTGCTGGAAGAAATGAGTGGATTTGCTGCAGTATGGAATTTCAGGGTAAGTATAAGTTACTACTGGGGGTAAATTTCACATTTCTGAGCAATAAAATCTATGGTGTCATCTATATCTATAGATAGATGAGCCTGAGACTCTAGTGGGTCTTTTATAGTTTTTAAATGTTTGGTTTGTATTGTAGTTGTCTATTACAGGCACCTTAATGAAGGTAACACAACAAACAAATAGTAGGCATCTTCCTGGCAGGACGATAGAACCTGTTACAGATTCTTGCACTCATTAAAGTCTGTGGTGAAGAATGGAAGCATATGTCATATGTTTTTCCTGACTTTACAAAACCTGAGATAGACTCCCTCAAGCAATCTAGAAGAAAAAAAAAAAACAAAAAACCAAACCCAAACTATTTTAACGCTGTGATAATCACATTAGGCACCCATTATAGGTGGTGTGAATATTGTCTTTGGAATTTGAGTAACATTTGCTTTACCTGTTCCAGGGGCTGGTTGTCAGCTCTCACCCTCTCTTCTGCATTTACCAGGAGTCAAAACACAAGCAATGAAGAGCAGTTCTTGAGAGAACTCAGTGAAAAGGAAATACAAATTAATCCAGAAATGGGGTCCTTGTCCAAGAAGTCAGTAAGATCATATCTCTGCTACACCAGTAGATGTTTGAACCAAACCTTACACCAATGCTACTCTCCTAGAAACAGAATCCAAACTGTGCATAAATGACTGTATACCTTCAAGCAAGGTTTTTCAAGTTCTCATGAATAACTGACACTTTGTACTGACAAAGTGGCATGCTGTGAGCAATTTTATACCTCCCTCATCAAGTTAGCCTGGACCACAGCAAGTTCTCATAGCCCTCAGCACACATGAGGATGCGAGTGCACTGTGTGCCCTGCAGAGACGTGACTAGGAAACAGCCTTGCACAAGGCCAAGTGTAGAAACGCAGGCTGTGCTGCAGACAGAAAAGGCTAGCAATATTCTTCTATTTTAATATACCATGTTATTGAAAATGACGATGTTATCTGAAGTGTAGACCATAGTATGAGGTATTAACTGATGCTTACTAATACACTGTGAGACATACTTCTTAATGCTACATTGTAGAGGAGGCAGGGGAGCCCACCACCTTGATCCCTTTCAGGAGAAAGTCTAGGACTGCAATTCTAAAGAAGGAAATGCTGGAATAGCAATTTCCCAAGAGAAATCTGGCTTTTTTCCTCGTGAAAAGCATGACTGTTCTTCCCATTAGTAACATTCAGTTTGCTTGACATACTCCTGCCATTTCATCAACCATTTCAGAAGTTCATTTCCGAATCTGTATGACCATTTGCAAGTTGGTTTAAAAAATATCGTAAGAGCAAAAATATTTGAGTCAGCCATTGAAAACAGAGTGCATGACTGCACCATATGTATTACTGCTCCAACATGCCCCTGCCTTCTCTCTTCCCTTGTTTCTACCTGTTGCTTTAGACCAGACACTGCAGGTTTATGGTAAAAGGAGGTTAAGGGGCATTTAGGTTTTGGGCTTTCCACCTAATCTTCAAGGGTCTATTTATAAAAACTATCCGTATGAACTATATATTCAACTGAATTTTAGAAAACCACTTTTTTTTTTTTCTCAAAACTAACAATTAAAAATATGGTTTTGTTTCCATTTATGTTTGATGCTACTTTAAAGCTCATCAGTGCTAAGATACTTAAATACATAAAGCTGAGATCCTACAAACTTCATTCAAACACTTGGCCCTACAAGTCCCACTTGTCCAGGAAAGCCTTTTCTACTGTGTGGAAGTGTTAGCTTTCTTCTGTCCCACAGATATGTAATCATAAAACCAGAAAGGCTAGAGTCTTCTTTACTGTGCTCTAATAGTTTGTTCCCAAGATAAAAAAGCCAAACCAAAAGTACAACGTTGAAAAACTGAAGCATATCTGAAAAAAAAAGAAACCTGAAATTCCCCTTCCAGACTTTTTCAAGGAGTGATATGCAAAACAACAAAGAAGACTGCTATTGAGCCATTTTAAAAACAAACCCAAGTATTTCAGAAATCCTTTAACATTCTTTGACCTTTCTTCACAGATCTGACCTGCTTTGGAATATTGAAAGGACAGCCCATCACTGCAACATACTCATGCAAACACATACATTTTAAATTTATCTTGCAGCACTCTGAAGAACAGTATGCTGAAGAGTGAGTGCCTTCTCATCACAGTATGGCACTGAGACAGGCACAGTGAGGCAATGTGATCATCACATATACTACGAAGCTTTCCACCTTAAAACAATAATAGCAGATAACTTAGGAATGACCTAGATATGGATAAATTCTTAATAGTTTATTACAAAGATTAAATATTCACTGTATGAAGTGAAATTCTCATCTAGTTTATTTAGCAATGCAAACAAATATCCTTACTGGGTTTGCATGTTTTGAGAGCACCCTAAGACTGGGAATAACATGAAGTTTTTCAAGCTCAGATGATTCCTGTCCAAAAGTTAAAAAACATACCATATATCAGGAGTTTTCAAAAGTCTTGGTACTGATATATATATATCTATATATATCTATATATCTATATCTATATCTATATCTATATCTATATCTATCTATCAGTTTATATGTGTGTGTATATATATATGTATGGGGGAAAATGCTGTTAATTTTACTTAGGAAAATCCATAGAAGAAAACAGGAAGTTTGTCTGAAAACAATCTACCACATTTAGCCCACTGAATCTACAGCATTAACAAAAATCTACTCTACTTGAATTCTGTTGAAGTCCAGAAAGAGTTTCTGTAATTTTACCAAAGGTTGTAAACAGTTCAGTTCTCATAAGTGGTTTTGCTCCAGATGAAGAGTCAGAAAACCATTCTGACTAGCAAGGAAGACTGTGAAATCCTTTTAATGTGGTTATGGTCAAATACCAATTCCTGTAGAAACTGGAGACCTTCAAGTACTTCAATTTGGCTGATGTAATTTCCTAATATAGCAAGAGTAAATGCATGCAATAATCTTTAATGGATTTGGATTCCTTTCCAGCAAAAAAATATCTTAAACAAAAGCAGCTCATGAACTTCCTGAATTATTTGTATGCTGGTTTGGACCACTTCAGTGGCACTGGACAACAGTGTGTTTGATTTCACCTATCTATCTGCCATCTCTATTAAAAGCAAAATATCTTCCTAAAAAAAATCTTGGCATTTTGAGGAACAAGACTTAGGTTAATCATTATTGTCAGTATTACTTATAATGAGAAGGAAATTTCCTCAGTGTGGAACATGCTACAGGCCATGAGCTGACAAATATATCCTCCATGTGCTGGTTACCCTGCTCTGCCCTTGTCTTGTAAAAGACAAGTGAGGCACAGTGGAGCAGTATCAAAGAATTTCACTGTTCAATATCTGAAGAATCTTGGAGTCAGGGCAAGAATTAAACCTAGGATATCATTCTTATTGGGGTCAAGGCCAGAGAAGACTGTCCCTCACAAAATCAAGGCATGGAGTGAAGAAGAATGGACATAAGGAAAGTACTGTGAAATGAACGAATGTATTGAAAAGCTGCTACCACCTACGCTGCAAAAACAGAAGTTTCAAGTGGTTTAGCCTGCTAAACTGTAGCTGGGCCATGTTAGTGATTCCATTATAGTCCAGATTAAAATCTTCCAAACTCTTCATTTTCACTGGCAGGTTTTCTCCAAATTCTGCATCCTTAAACTAATAAATCAAACTAGTGTACGATGACACAGTTTTTTCTTGGAGAAAAGAATATCAGCATTTCCCACCCCCAAAAAAAACATTTATGAAGAGAATATATGGATGACTGCAATTTCACTAATCACTGGAACATGTTTCATAGGAATTACACCTGTGTATGTTTAAAAAAAAAAAAAAAAAAAAAAAAAAAAAAAAAAAAAAAAAAAAAAAAAAAAAAAAAAAAAAAAAAAAAAGAAAGAAAAATGAAACAAATCCACTACTTTGAGGTGGAAATCCTCCACATACAAACTTCTGTTCTGTGGAAGCTAGGTCAGATTTTCTGGAAATCAAACAAATAAAGCAAGCCCCCTCCTCTGCTCACAGAAGTGTGAGGACATGAAAAGAAAATAGCTGTAAATCACTGCTAGATTTAGTAAAATACTTATGGCAACCTTTGGGTGTATTCTCTCAACAGCTGAATGACAATAGGGCAAAATAAAATAACATGCACTGTTCTACGAATTTGTAAAAGCTCCATTTCTGTTATGTCTGACCTGTAATTAGGTAGCATGAACTAATAGGTTAAGAGAGAGAAGGAAAAAAAGGTTCTAATTTTAGCTTTGTTTCTTCCTTACAACCAATCTAATGAAACAATGTGCTTAGCAAACTCAGTTTCCATTGAAACACTAAGTATTGGTGACTGCTGAGCAGCTAGTGACTTGATTACATTCACATATCATAAACACAACAGTATCTGAACTGTATGTGAATAAGTAATATTAATTTGTATTAAGATGTGTAAATATGTAATATGTATATTTTATGCTTTACACAGGTTTATCTCTCAAGGCTACAAAAATTAAGAGCTAATTCAACTTCCAAAGAAAAGTGCCAAGAGGATCTGGTGAAGGTTTAAGAACATTTATGTTCCTAGAATATCTCACACTTGAGAAAGAAGGCAACAATCATTAAAAAGATAGTATCCACTTAGTGAGACATTAAAAGAAGCTATAATAAATGGAAAAATAAAGAAATTGACAGTAAGAAACAAAAACATGCAAAAAATTGATGAAAAGAGCAAATGCACAGAAGGGGACATCAATGGCTTGTAGCATTAAGAATAGTGAGAAAGAGTTTGAAAGTATATCAATACCAAAAGTAACCTTGACAATGGTACTGGATCATTACTAGCTGAAGTTGGTAGAAGTATCAATAAACCTGATATGAAGCATAGTTGTTCACTAAATACTTTTGTGCTGCATTTGTGAGGAGAAAAAGAGCAATGTTATTCATATCACACAGTACTAATGAAATAATTTCCATTCCACTATTGACTGGTAAGTAGCAGTTATCAAGCTAGAATCTGACATGTTTAAATCAGTGACTCTGAGTAAGTCACATTTGAAGAACTGGCTGAGAAACATCATGAAGTATTTTTGTTGACTTGCACTGAGTTTGGGAACATCAGTCAAGTGTCAGTGGCCTGCGAGAAAGTTAAATTTGTCAATATTTAAAAAGGGAAAGGGGATAAAAAAATTCCTCCCACCAAGAGGGGCATTCCTGCAGTTACTGAACATTTTTTTCTTTTTGAGCCCCCAGTCTGTATAAAGAATGCTAATCTCTCATGGAGAAGCAGATAAGCAAAACGAGCACAGAAATTTAAATGTCACACTATGATGGAAGCCCAAACAGCCCATATCCATGTGTGCTTCTGCCAATACCCCTTTTCCCCAGAAAACTGGAAAACAAATTCATGTTTTTCCCACACTTCAGGTGTTGAGCATATGCAGAATGAACACAATGAAGAGCTGTGTGATGTCTTGAGAAGTGTGTACACAACAACTAAGTTTTTCAGGGTTTTCTGATGCTCTGTCACTGACACTTCTATAAAACTTGACCAAGGTATAGATGGAACTCTGAATGGTGACTTTGCAAGATTTGTATGATATGATAAAACTGAATTTGACTATGGGTGTTGCCTTGTCCATGCAGAAATAAGTAAATGAATCCTGACAAGTCCCAGAAGTTTCAGTCCTGACTGAAAGAGGGCACAGATGAGAAATGCAAACTGAAGGGTAATTTGAAAACGCTCTTTAGGACACAAGCTAATCTAATGTTGATGGCAGAAGGAAGAAGAAAGAAGCATGACTGTCTCCTTCAGAGGATGATGAAAATAATATAACTTACAAAATGAATAAAGGAAAAGAGGTTTAATGGCAGGATGACTGACTGCTTAGACTACACATAACATTGCAGAAGAACTTTGGATGAATGTACAAAAGCCTTCTTTATGCTTGTATGGTAGTCTGAACTGGCTAAACTCACCGATTCTAACAAGAGGCTGTGACTGCCATCAGAATATTATACAGTGTAAGGCAGCTGAATTTTTACAGGTCAGGCTCAAGGTACTGAATTACTACCTCAGTATATTCCCCAGTATCTGAATATTTCCTAAAAATGTTTAGTGTAATGTTGTACAATTTTAAGTAAAGAATGAAAACAGAATATCAATGATCAATCTAAGCAGAGATATGTGTCCATACTCTCCCAGATCAAACAAACAGCCAGAGAGAGGTAGGTGGTTCCCTTACTCAACATGAAATCCTTCATAGGAAGGTGAAAAAATTTCGATGTATGCCTAACCACCTCTGTGATAGGATCCAAGGAACAGATGACAGCAGCCTGATATAGTTAGTTTGGTGATGAAGTGGCCAAAAAAGTTCATAAAGAACTTAGTAAAGAAAAGCCAGCTAGATGATGCCAAACATACTATATACATGCAAAACAAACAAAAAAATCTGCTGGATTTCTTCAAGATAGGAGGGGGAGAAAAATTGAGATCCAAAGCTACTGACACTGAAGACACCTCCCTCCTCCTCAATGGAGTAAAGGAGAGATAAAAGTGTATTTTAAAAGCTGATGGTATTTGCTTTCTTTTTCAAGTCCTTCCTGTCCATAGCTGTGAGAGGTCACCTTTCAGTACAGCTGCTGCCTATTTGTTACCTGATTAGGCAGCTTTTGTTCAGGCAGAATTGATTCTATGCAATTGTAGTTCAGAGACACCTGTAAAAAGGAAGCATAATTAATCAAACAGAATGTTTCTCTGTTAACACATTAGCAAAGCTGCCAATTACATTTTTCTGTCTCAGAAATTTGATCTTTAGAAAGATGATCGGTCAGTTTGAAGTGCTTAAAAAAGTTTGGTGCAATTAATTGATTTTGGATCAGATTACTGCAACAACACTGTAAAACTGAAACAGTGGTTGCAATCAGCTTTGTGCTGATCGATTGCTGTTGTTACAAAAACCCATGAACACCAAGGTATTAAAGGAGATTAAAGACTGTATTTTCAATCAAAGGAAATTAGTTTATCATTAATATTATTAAGAAAACCAGAAAAGACTGTGTCATGAACCCACCTTGGCATTAGGAAGGAAGATTAAACCACTGAAAGACGTGAGATTATTTTTCAAGTTCATGCAACAGACATTTCTAAATTGGTCTGCTAGTACCAGCTCTACAGCTCTGAATTAAGTAAAAAGAGACAAATATGGATTTAAAATGCAAGTAATATAGAAAAATAAATAGAAATATATAGCATGAGCAGATCTGTAACATGCTGGCTTTGGGGTAAGAGATGCAACATGCTCCTATGAAAGAAGCACCCTAGCGAAAATATCACAGCAAATTCACAGTTCTTTTTCCAGTAGTAAACAATTGATTTGATTCTGACACCAAAGGCAAGGGCTTTCAACAGGCTGCTCTGTTTGCTTCTATACCACATTACTGAAATTCCAGTTCCATACCTCTTAGGCTGTTTTCGTTGCTTTCCAGCAGCACTGGAGCTGTAATTGCTCAGATGGGGTGTTCCACTCTCCACTTACCCCGAGGCCTGCCGAAGCACCACACAGGTTGCCATTGTGTACCTCAGCTCCGCTGAAGCCTGCTTGCAAGGTACTTGTTACTACTTAATGGTAGAAGCAGGATACTCTACTGGTCAGAGAGGCATTCCTCAAGTAATTTTTAGGCATTCATAATTGTGTTGCTGATACATCTCTTCAAGAAATTCAAGGCTTGCAATTGTAAAACCTTAAAAGGCACATAGTCAGTGTTATGGTATTGCTCTACAACCTTTCACAACAAAGCCTCCAGGGAATGAGTGTCCTTGAAGAAAATAATCCTGGCAAGAATGTTTAAATACTTGTATCTGTTCTCACATCTTAATAAAACAGTCTCTTGAAACCAAGAGTCAAACTAAAAGGAGTTACAATTTCTTTATAAGCAACACCTACTTAATTCCAGAGTATATGACACTGGTATTCCTGGCATGGTGATACTGTTGCTGTAGGTCTTCTAGGCTATTTAAGATCAAAAGATGAATAATATAAAATAAAATATCAAATATAAGTATGTCTCTAAGAAGACACATACATTCATACAACCCGTAGAAATACTTTCCTAACAATATCAGGGATGTTGTCTACAAACAAGTGTGATTAGTGCTGTGTCACAGAACAGTGACTGTCCCACTGGGTGCACATACCAGTGTTCAGTTAAGGATGCATTTAATGTAATCAATCACAGGTTATTCTTGCTCTAAATTCTGTTAGACCTACAATGAACAAGGCAGCTTTTTCAGAAATTGGAAGATTGCAGAAGCAGTACTGAAAATACATACATGTCAGTGCTCACTTCGGGCAAATCTGTTCTGAAAGGAACCAGAACAGAGGAGTTTTGATCAGATAAAATCTCTCTTCTAGATATACGTGGTTTGGAACCAGTACTCTACCTCTCTTAGACATTTTCTGTCAAACTGTGTGCAGGCAGCACCACTCCCTAAATGAAAAATGGAAGCATCTAGAGAAAGAATATTTCTTTAACATAATTCAGAAAATAACCCTTTGTGATGAAAAATTACAGTTATTTTATTAATCACCCAAGGGAATTTGGCCTACAAATGCTAGGGAATTATCAGGCATATTTGCTAAATACAGATTCTAGCTTTAGATTTTGGTGTTGTATCCACAGTATTAGATGCTACTTTTAATAGATAATACAATTCTGAAAATCACCACACCTGATATTAGAAGCTGTCCAATTTAATTCTTGCATTTCTGTGGTCTGAATGTCCCAGTCTATCTGCAATCATGTCTGAGGTGAAGCTGCCTTTTGCACTCTCTCCTTCTGTTGATTCCTGTTAAATGAATTTGAAGTGATGTCTGCAATATTAATGCAGATCTAGAATTATTATAGTAATAAAAGCAAGAAACATTTACAATTCAATGAATTAAAAAAGTCTAAAATCAAAATAACTTTAAAAGTGTTTTATCTTTATATGAGCAGACATGGATGACTGTTTTCTCATGGAACAGATTAATGGAGATAGTCTGTGTTCTTTCAGTCAGTTTACAATATAGATTTGTAAGTAATGTATACTAATTTCATAGTTGTTAGATATTATTAAGCTCCAAAATTACAGTTAAAGCCTTGGGAACCCTAGCATGTGCCAGGACACTGTTGTGCTAGGTACTATTGCCAAAAAAGGCAATTTCTACTCCAAAATGACTGAAGAGAGACAGACAAGGGAGTTTTATGGATTATATTAAAAGATTACATATATATTAACAAGTCTGATCATCTGGGTCTTGATTTGTTGAAGAACTGTTTTTTAAAAGTTATAGTAATAATCTGCACACAGAACAATTTACTACTGCAGTGCCATCTAAGTCTTTGAGATAGGGAAGATGGAATAATACAAATAATCAGTAGTGATCTTGTTTCTAGGCTATTCGATTTCTATGCACGTCAAAAATTATCAGATTAGTTAAACCTTAAGTAGAAAAAAGCACGTTTATTAATATAACTTTAAAACATCCATATATAGGTGCATTCAGACTACTTTATTTTCAGCTCCTTCTTCAGCCATTGTCTGCATGACTCAAAAATGAAAAATCGCTTAACCAAATCCAGATCTGTTAATTTAGATTAATAGTACTTTTCAACACTCAAGCCACAAAAAAAGCTTAAAGTGAGTGAAAACTATACTGACATTGCCTTAAAAGCCTTTGTGCTATCACACAGTTTTACAGAGTCTGAACATAAATAAGAATCAGGGCCTCAAGTCTCCAATTAGAGTTTGACTCCAGCCAACAAAGTTTATAATACATACATTAGCATTCCAGGTAAACTGAAAGGAACTGGGACTGCTGCAGGTGTAATTGTTTGTCATTTGATATGAGCTGCAGAATTATTCCAGGGACAGTAAACCTTGATTTAGCCTACCTGGTAAAAGGGGTAATTACCTCTGCAGAATATTTTGAGTCCAGTCCACCTGGAGGGTTCAGTACCTCCTTCTCAGGAGTAAGTATCAATCCAAAAATGTTAGACTGGGGTTCTCATCAGTTCAGGTTCCGCTGTAAAGATGGATGAATGCAGCACCCACAAGCATTGTGTTATACTTATTTATACTTCTATATACTTCTGTTTAAGTATATTTATACTTAAACATGGAATTATGTTTAAGTATAGCTTCCTCTATACTTGAACAAGTGGGGAAACACAGTATTTCTAATGTAATTAAAAACCAAATTAGTTCTGAAATAGTAAATATTTACTTTTAAATGATGTATCTCTTGTTTGGTAAAAAAAAAAAAAGAAGTTATTACTTCATTATAGCTCTATTAGGGAGTAAATTTTCTTTAAATCAACTAAAAATATGATTCTGTTGTTCTCAATGGAAATGTAATGAGGATAAGACAGATTTTCAAACACATGTTTTTTGAGGCTGATAAAATGGTTATTATTTACAGTATGCCTTGTAAGTTTACTGAGCTTTGAAATTCCTTGAAAATAAACAAGATACACTTAGTATAAAGTGAGTTGTAACAGAAGAAGGTGGCTGATACAGAAATTAAACTGGTTACAAGTGACACAAGCTTGTGTTACTGGGTACAACTGTAACTAAATCAAATAGATCATTAAACATAGATAAATATGCATATTTTCATAAGAAATAGTTATTTTGCTGAAACATTACTGTTCTGCTTCACTCCCTTTCTTCAGTTGTGATAAAGATACTCAGATTTTTTCATATTTGGAAAGCTCACTCTGTTGGCAGTGAGTAAAATCTCATCCTCTGTAATATTTCACTATAAAGAAACATTTTTACTGTGCCCCGTCTTAACAGCCTGCATTATCACTACCACGGGAAATATAGTACCATCTAGTGTTGAAAAGTAGTTTTCATCTAAAGTGAGGTCTTCGAGGTTAAGACAATACATTAGTCTTTCTATTGCTGCAAGCGTGTTGTTGCTAAACGATGCCCATCTTAAATGCTCCAGTTTTTCCAAGTCGGAAATTTTGAAGAGGGTTGATCATCCAGATTTAAGACAGTGATCTGTAATAAAACTCAGTATTAGAATTGAAAGAAACTGAGCAGTCAAATCTGTAAATTAATTCCACCTATATATTCTGTGCTCAGTCTCTATGTGTACATTTCCTACTAATATCAATGGGAATTTCTTGGATGCAGGATGTGATATTTCCCCATTATACCACAGAGCTACTCATCTTTAACAAACTTCAAAAAAGTTCAGCTTCTCCTCCAAAAACAAGAACTCTACAATGCAGGTATGCCAGCTCCCAAATGTACCTTTGCAGCTGAAGCTATCTGAACATAGACATTTTTTTCTTGTCTGCATTAGATCTTATATAGTTTTGTTCAATTCAAATCCTTCTGCAATACATGATTATATTATTGGCTAGTCTGCTTTACACATCCTCATTCTGCAACAGGACTTTAATAGAAACGGGATTTCAGCCTAACACCAAGGCTGGATGTTTAGTCTAGAAGAGACTGAGTGCAAAGTCAAAGCGGAATTTATCCTAACTTTATAGTTCTTCATGCTTTTTATATACAAACTAAACACTCTTTTCTCTCTATCATAGATCAACAAATTCAGTAATTTTCTTGTTTGAAATATTCTCTAACAGAAATAAATAAATGTCAATACCAAATATGTATTTTGCTACCCAGGTTGTGAAACTTTCTTACACAGGATCTGACTTTAGGCACCTGTCAGCAAGCTTCCTGTAAAGACAAGGCTGTCCATGATCCAATCCATAACCTGTTTTATGGCTATGACTCCCCCTTTCCGACAATACTACAGTACGTTAGCCCATCATTGCACAGTGGAGAAAATCACAGAGTCCCAATCAAAAAATTCAAATATTATTGTAGGGGCCCAAAATATCCAGTATTGTATCAGGACTGTATCTAAAACAAATAATCACTTACATATTCTGTGGGATTAGACTGGCTTTGGTGATTAAAAAATATTTTTGGACTATATTTATTTTCCAAAGTATTTATTTTCCCCTTTATGAATCCCTTTTCTCTGATGTCACAAAACTTATATGACATATGCTAAAGCATTAATTTTGCTGGCATTTTTTCTAAACATGAATTCCCTAATGCACAGAGAATGAAACACTACACATCAACAGAAGTGTGTTTTCCTCTAGCTATTCTATATTCTAATAACAAATTGTACTGACAGAGGAGCTTTTAACCTTTCATACTGGGTAGATTAACATGATTTCAGCTGATGGATCAGAACAGGTTAAAATGACCTTGGATCTTCCTCTGCTGACTCTTGAGGCTTTTTGATAGCTCAGTTTCCTAAGGAAACAAGGCTAATGTGATTGTGCTACCTGGATATCCATCTGCTAGCCTCACCACTAATTTTTAAACCTATTGGTGAATTTTGGCCCAATCTGCTAGACAAGCACCACTTGACTTCCTACAAATTCCATGAAAATGAGCACCTGAATTAGAGTTATAAACTGATGATCCCAGCCAGGGAAAGGCTGCAATATTAGCTCAGCTATAATGCCAGAGGATCCATGAGAGACCTGTTCTGAATGATCTGAGAAACTCTTGAGAGCTCCTACCTGACTGGGCATTGGATAACCCAAAGACAAGGCTCTTTATTAAGTCAAACCAAGTTCCTTCAGTCCTACTGCTCATCAAGTGACTGCTTAATTAGTTTCTAATTTTAGGTAGTCTTTCAAGGTGAGAGATAACATTTAAAAGGTTATTCTCAATGTTTGCTGGTTTGAAAATAAACCTACTAGCTCTATTCTTGCAATCTGTTTTTCATATTGGTATTTAGTAGAACTCCATGAGATTTTAATCCTGCCTGATCACAAGAAATGGATTAGTATGGAGAGTTCAATATGCATGTGGTAAAGCTTATTTGGCTTTAGACATGAAATATGGCTAAGACTCTAAATTTTAGGGCAGGGAATATTTGAAGGGTAAGTATTAGAAAACTCTTGTTGCTATATGCATTAGAGAATTTATAGAACTTATTAGGAGAGCTAATGCTTCAACATGTTTCAACATTATACTTTTGTGAAAAAAGTTGGGTTCAAAATTGTCAGGTAAATAATAAGCATAGCTATGGAATTTTCTAATGAAAAATTCTCAGGGCCAATCTCTACTGATCAGGGAGAGAATGCAAAGCAGCTGGCTGCAATTTCCTGAATCAGTCTGGGTCTGTCAATATCCCTGCTACCAGTATCCTTGCTCTTTAAAAAGTTGCTCAATATTCTTGAAGTTTCACTGACACTCTCCTTTAAAATACTTCCAGAGTGTTTTGAATTCCTGGAATCCTTAAATGAAGCAAGTAGATGAAGGACTTTGACTTGCCTTAGGAGGCAATTCTTTAAAAACACAAGCAAGTGTACCTCATAAGCATGTCCTTTATATAGTCTTGGTGTTTTAAAAAGGGCAATTTTCATATGCCAAAAGCAGTCATGAGCAAAATGAGTGCCACAAAAACTTAAGCTAAAAAATGTGAGGGCTAGTTAGGAGAGGTTTAAAGATGCTAAATACTTCATCATTACATACTGTTACATTTACAGTTAAAAAAATTTTCCCCCTTTTAAGTTTACAGATTAAAGCAAATATTCATGAGCCCTTCTGGATCAGGCTATGGCCCTTTTATTCCACTACAGCAGAAGTGAATGAAAAATCGGAAAAATGATAGCAGTGAGAATAAAACAGTTGTTAGAAACACGGATTACTGAAAATGAAAGCTAAAATTGTCAGTGCAAATTTGATGGCTAATACAACCGGAGATCATAATCAGGACCTAATGATATTCAAGCAATGCTATAGGCTTGATCCTATCTAAGGATTTTTAAATGGTCAGTTAGAATCCAGAAGAGGAAGATAGTTTCAATGAATATTTTTCTCTGTCTTTGGGAAGAACCATGATGAGATGCTCATAATTTACATGGATAAAAAATTACTTTATATTTCTTTAATAACTAAAAAGAATCTAAAACTGGAACTACTTATGTTAACATTTTTTAAGCAGAAATTTTTCAGTCAAGGATATTAATGAAACAGTTGAAGAACTTTCTGAGCCCCTCATTTTATACAAATGATAGTAAAATTGGGAAGTTCTAGAAGAATATGAACAAACTGAAATTATAATAGTATCGAGAATTAATAGGATGACCAGAATAGATCAGTTAGCTTGGTATCATCCCTAGGTATCACAGGAAGGCTGATAGGCAACACAGTAAATAATTACAAGTTAATGGACTCTTTAGTAGCTGCCAATATGGTACATAGGAAACAAAATTAATAATAAATTGCTTTTGATGAAAATGTAAATATATTGATAAGATTAATAGCTTCTGTCTGAAAATGTAATAAAAAAATAATTATATCCAGAAGTGAAGGTAACTCTTGTTAAATAGACAAAACCTATTCTAGCTATATAAAGAAAATCACCACTTTACAGAGTACTTTTACTGATGTTCTGTTCTACATTCTTTTTCTCAGTGACCTAGCAAATAAAGCAGAATTCTCTTCCTGGTAAATTAGGAGGTGACAATAAGATGCTTATAAGGTCCACTATAAACAGCAGTTTCGTAATGACTAACATGATGACCCTATTTAAAAAGCACGTTTCTGCATAGAACAACTTGTAAATTATGTAGCTGGGAACAGAGAAATTCACACTCACACAATGAAAAGACAGTAGCTGAGGACACTGAAAAGGACTGGAGCTAATGATAGAAAACCAGCTGAACGTGAGCTTGTGCTGTTGCCTCAAGGACACGCATGTCAGTTAATATTTAATCACTGGACTAGTGAGTAGGATTAGGCAAGTGGAATTTTTTCTCAGTATGCCATTATCAGTCCAGTGCTGGAAGTTTGTACATAGATTTGTAGGAGGCCATATATAAAAAACATGTGGACATAATGAAACATTCAGAAAGGAACTAGAATAATGTCATGAGAAATAAAAAAAACCACTTCATAATGAGACACTTAAGAAGTTCAACCTAACTTAGTTTCTTTAAGATAAGATAAAGTGGGATGATTTTGGCTAATTAAGGATAAGACTTCTGGTCCTTCAGAACATCTGGTTCTGCTCCTTTAGAACACTGGATAGAGACAAAATGAGACCCACTGCATGAAATTTGATAGTAACCAAATTTATATTAGAAACAAGATTTCTGAGAAAGAAATCTATGAGGAGAGACCTCGTAGATTCACCATTTCTTGAAATCTTTAGACAAACACTTAAGAGTGGGTTTCATACCAGCAAAACAACGTCAGCAACAGAGGTATCGCCATCTGTGGTGGCTGGCTGGGCTCTCTGGTAGGTTGCAATTCACTTCAACCTACAATAACCCTCTAAACTGTTCCGTGACTCATGTCCCCAGACTATTTTTGTTTCTGCACAGTCTACAAAAGGAATGTTCAAATGTGATTATCATCTGCATTGTAGATAAGCAAAATTAGGTGAAATTAATCCTAATCTGAATGGTTTACTGTAAAATCTGCTGTAGCTCAAAGAGATGGTATGAAATTGAGGTAGAAATTAGCCTTTCTAATGCTTTCTTGTCTGCTTTATGCATAAAGTCAGTCTAGAGAATGTTGTTAGTATCCCTTGGTCTTAAAAATATATTAATGCTAAAAAGACAGTTGCACTGCAAAATAAGTAATTTAAATGTCCTCTTCAGGGTATCCTGGACCTCCTGTGAGGCATCTGGAAACAGCCATTCTCAGAGCTCAGAGACAACATAACTATTGGTTAGACTTGAATGTATTCAGAAATATTTTTTAACCAAAAAGCATTAAACCTTTAACCTAAGACAACAAAAGAAACTCTTACAGGGATTAATCTAAATGTTAACCTAAATACATTAAACAGCATCAGCCCTACCATTAAATACCAGTTATTATGATGCATCTGTGAATTTACCTTGATCTTGCAAATTTGAGACAGAATTTTAGTGCAAGGAAATACACTGAGAATGGGAGTTTTTTCTTCATCAGTCCTAGTATATTCTAACAGAGACACCTGAGGAAAAAAATGAAAGAAAACACTGTATTAAGGATATACTGTATATACTTCACAGCATTAGTAAATGGCATAAAAATCCTGCTATTCTTGGAAGGGGAAGGTGATAGAATAGTAGATATAATAATTCATATATGTAGTAAATTTAATAGTGTTGCAAGGCTCCTACAGATCTTGCACAGATCACGTTTTTAGAGTTCTCAGTACATAAAACAGAGAAGGTAGAGCTCATTAAAATGCTCTGTATTAACTACAACCTGTTTTCTGTGAAGATACTTATCCTTTTTTTTATCAGAAAGTCATGATCTTACTCAGCATGTGAGCAGACATAGTTTAATTGTGACTGGGCTGTGACCATATAAAAATTGTGTTGATACCAAGTCCCACCTATACAGCCCAGTTATACTGAGTGGGGTAGCTTAGAATCAGCCTAGGATTCAGAAGAGCTTTGGGATATAGTCCAGAGTTTAAGTAAAACAAGTTTGTGCTCAGGGGTTGGGAAGGATCTGCATATAAAATACTCTGAAGAATCGCCTGACCTTAAGACAAAGAATTTGGCACTAGATACTTTTAGAAGTATGTAGAGCTGTTGGTTTATCCTGTTATTTTCCTCTCCATTGTTTCTACTTGGCAAACATAGTTACTTTCTTGTATTTTGAATTCAGTAGAATTTGAACATGACTGTTTCCAAGATCATGCTAGCATATAATTTTAGGTACCAGCAGATCAGTGAGATCAGTGTTTAGTAAATAATTTTTGACCTACTGCCAGAGGCAAGGACAAAACTTCTATCTTCACAAAACTCAGAAAACAAAATGTTCTTTAAAAAAACAGATGCAGAGCTATTACTAAAGCTTTCCTTTTCCACAACACTTGCTGTGTTACAACACAGAACATAAAACCTGGGTCATCTTTGATCCTGCAATACATTGTAATGCTTCTGCAACTTCATTAAAAATCAGGACTCCATCAAGGTTAGTGACAGTCTTTAATAGGCCAGTGACATTCAGGTAAATGAGGCTGGCTTAAAGACAGACGTTTTATTAAATTACCAATATAGTTTACACAGAAGAGAGAGACTTGCATTTCCTTTTTCTTTAGTGTACTGTCATCTTGTGGACGTCAGGAGCTAGAGGCTTGCTATGATTTTTCAGCAGAGCCACCGTGTCATCTCTGTTTGCATAGTTTGCTTGAAACACATGAAACAAGGTACCTTTGGGCCAGTTTTGATTGTCCTGATTTTATGTGACATTGATGATAATAAACTGCTCTGGAGTCACATAGGCTAACTCAGAAGTTTACTAATCTTATGAAGCTCACTAATACATAAGATGTATTAGTATTTGGTTTTATAACCTGGGAGTTTCATTTTATGACCTAGATATACAAAAAACAAAGCTTGATAGGACATGTGAGAAATGTTTGAAGGATTTAGAAGTGTCACTGAAACCTCAAGACATCACCACAAACCTATCCTATACATACAGAATATGTTAGACTGCCCACTAGTTTACGATATAATACATGAAATACACACTTCTCAAATAATGAATAATATCTGTGTGAATGGAATATAGATATATTTTGAGAGCCAAATAAGCCAATTGCAATCACTTAAGAGCTAGATAGTAGAATATCCTTGGACAGGCAGCAAGGATTTTCTGCTTTGCTCTGAACTTAACTAACTAGACATTGTGGCTGGGTGCCTAAGGGACTCTGGAGAGGCACAGGTTTACTGATGTGTAATACTCAAGAGTTACCATGTTGACACACAGAGCTGATGGGAAAGAATACAGCAAAACTAAAAGTTTTTTCTGATAAAAACCTGTGTAATAACAACAAAGAACCAGAGACCAGAAATGGTAGCTCTTATTATTTCTTTTTATATCTTAGCATGTATTGAAAATATTCACTGAAGTTAATTGACAGGCCAAATAGACAAGGCAGCATCTTTTTGGATGAGTCCTCGGTGCTCCAGTGGAGTTGTGTTTCCTGTGTTGGTTTGTTGTTCAAATTATTTGAGAGGTGTTCTATTCAGATAGTACTCTTTGCCTGACTTTGACTTGTACAAAATACTAAATACAGTGTTACACAATCATTAAAAAAAAGCTTTTTAAAGTGTCTTTCAATGCCTCCAATTTGTAAGGTTTAACTCTGCTGACTCTGACTAAGCCCTTTAAATAATGTTAAAATGTACTGATTCAGAGGGAAGAAAGTACAGAGAGAAACATTTGTTCCAGAAGCTGGTTGGGCAATGGGAATGAATGAGAGTCAGTAAAAGGGCTGAGTATTGGCTTTCTCACCAAAGGTCCAGCCAACACAGCTGTGCTGTTGCAGACAGATACATGCAGTAACAGAGACTAACAGTGTATTTTCACATCCCCAAGGCTAGGAACTGTCTCTGCCCCCAACCCTTATTCAGTGCAGCTGAGACAGCAAAATTAAAGCCAGGGCTTGGTTTTTCATATCTGGCACAGGCCACCAATAAATTTAATTCTTAAGGGAAGCAAAAAAGAAAGGAATTATGTCTCAGATGTCTCTGAGCAAAAATGACATGCAAATCATTCACTTGGTTAGGCTGTGACTACTAAAAGAAGTGAGAGAGGCCCTGTGAGAACAAAGATGCCATAACATGATCATAAGGCTTCTTACATTTGCCAGTGTATTAGAATTAATAAGGTGCAGGACCAGATTTTAAGCCTTTATAACTGTGGTCATGGTTAGAATGCTTTCCCAGGAATTTCAAGCGCTGGTATGTACCTTATGCCATGGGTTGTGTGTGATGTCAAGACTGAGTAAGTTGGGAGTGTATTTATGTAAGATGTTTGTATCTTCCCTGGACTCCTTCAGTTCCAGCTCAGGTTGAAGAACTTCAGGTTTGCCTAAGCCTCTAATGCCCTCAAAAGTGATCACATGGTTATGGCTTGCATCAAAACATTCCCCGCTGGGCTGCAAAACAACACAGGTTTGGAAAGAGTTGTATGGCCGAAAGTGTAGCAACCACCCCCCCACACACCCCCCCTCTGATTAAAGTAACCAGACACATTTAATCTTTAAACAATTGGACCCAGTGCCTGGAATTCCCCTTGCTCAGTATTGGAGTCTGTTGAGGGAGACCTAATGTGCTCCAGCCATGTCACTCTATTTGTTAAAATGAAATGATCATTTATAAAGGTCAGACAGGTGATCAAGTGATATCACTGTAATACTGCGGTTCAAATTAGAGACAATATCAACAGGCACCAAAACTGTGGGCTGCTAAGGATATCACAGTATGCATGATCCTAGTTTAATCTCCCATTTTGTTCCTCTCTGTGCATCATGGCCCAATCCTGCCTGGTGAGCACATCCCACAATGTAAGAATATTTATGCTAGTAAATGTTCATTGAAAAAAAAAAAATAATTAAAGCTCAATTTCTCACCAGGTCATAAATGTTATTTAAGGAAGTAAATTCATTAAAGTTGATGATAAGCTTTTGAAGTGTTTCAAGTCTAGAGACGTCCTGCAGCATGCTCAGGCTGTTCCCATTCAAATTCAAAACCTAGACAAAAAGTAGATCAGAAATGACAATTTAACCAGACACGCAGACAAATTCTGTAATACTTCATGGCTGCTTTTAAAATGAAAAAGCTTCAACTGATCAAGTGCATCTACTGATAAACCCCAAAAAGTCTATAAAGTGTGAATACAAACCAATGTGAAATAATGAAAAGACAATAAAGGCTATGATGACTCGTTTTCACTTATCTGAAGAATTCTCTAACTTCTCTCTGAAATAAAAGTGACCTGGCTAAGATAGGGAGTCAGACAGTCAGTCAGTTCATAGGAGAAAAATAGGAACCTCAGCCAAATCTCACTACAATGAGTGGAAAGTTTCTTGCTGACTTCCACAGAAGTTTTATCTGGCTCTGACAGAATGGACAGAAGAGAATCAACCTTAAACCTGGGCTTCTCAGGTTGTGGTAGTAGAATATAATTTAATTTTACCTACTTGGGTTTTTTTCTTCTCTTGATCTGTGAAATTCAAAGCTTGCCTCCTAATATCACAGTAGGAGAAACAAAGTTCATACCAGTGTAATTTACTCAAACTTGGCAACATGTTCTGGCAGGACCAGTTCATGGTCAGACACAAGCCACTCACAGTGCCAATGGCTGCAGTCACAATTTCTCTGTTCCAAGGAAGTTCACATTTCTAAAGTGAAGAAAATAGAGTAAATATACTATTGGGTTTTAGCTCACTTTGGTATCTCTTTCAAAATGTTAATGAGTCAAAGGTATCTCCTTCCACAAAGATACATCAGTTTTATTCCTTTCTGCTATTAGACTTTCTCTGTCATACAGACTCAGGCACAGGCTAATAAAGGAGTTTAATTTGGCTCTCTAATACCTTATGTAGAATAAGCAACTGTCAGATTCCAGAATGAAAATCACAGCTGTCAAAGACTATCTTAGATCCTGAGAGCACGGACAGCTCTCCTCAAATGCTTTCATTGCTGCACTGTCCAAAACTACTCTATCATATTACGGTGTGATCACCTTCCAAATCAGTTTTCATTTCCTCCCTTCTAAGAAAGCAGAAACAATCCCTGTTCCTTTATAAAGGGACAGATGTTGCTCCCTGTTAGCATCTGACAGTTTGGAGGGTATATTAGAATGAACAGACAAAATTATTTCTCATTTCCCACTCGGTTCTCTTGCATAAAATAGGGTAAAGCAGAATCTATTGCTCAGAGGATACATATGATTCAGAGATTTAAGCTGGTTACTTATAGCAGTGTATTTCTCAGCAGTAATCATTTTTATTTAGCTTAAGGATAAAGGCTGTGGATCTTAAGGGTGATGATTTCCTCTGTGGAATATGCATACTGCCCTTTGCCACACTCACTCAATCCCACTTTACGAACAGTGGGTATGAAACTGCATGAAATAAACTGCTTTTAGTGGGCATTAATGGCAGAATAGCAGCGTGGCACAGTGCACTTTCACTCTGCACAAATATTTATTCAAAGAGGAATCTTTTTGGTTATTATTGTCTTTGAAAAAAAGGCACTTGAGCTGAGCAGAGACTGTGTTCTGATGAATGAAACCTCTAGACAAAACACAAAGTCAAAGATGAGTTTAAAATACAAATGTTAATTTATCCTTAACTTTATGCTAACAAGTGATGTCACAGATGAGAGTATTTCACACAGTTATGACTTAACAGCAATTTAAGATTCATTAATGGTGTGAGGTAGATCAAGGTTGAATTTTAACAGCACTTAAGGATTGATTAAAGATTAACAAGGTGATTTGGTAGAATATATTAGGATTAAAATAGCAATAGTATTTGTGTTTTCCTCATCTATCTAGAAAAGATCAGACATATCTAATTATTTCTCACATATCTCTCACAGATGCTTCAAACTCCTGTCTGGGAATTACTCCCAGTAGCTGAAGCCCTTTGTGGAGCTTCCTAATACACAGAAATGCCGCTGGGACAGATTTCAGCAAAGTTTCAGAGGTCCTTTCAAGGCTGCACATGCCACCTCATGGCCATCTACAGTATTTACAAAATGTCCTTTAACAGCAATTATACAAGCCATACAGCATATATTTTACAAGATCTTTCCAAGCCTTGAATTGCCATGCTCGAATGACTTCTCAGGATCACTGCTGGTTTTGCCTTCTGCCTTAGCTTCTTGTTTCAGAGATGTTCACATATGCTTAGACTGTTCCAGAGAAGAAAAGCTTTTTTTCCGGTCAGGCTGCTGCAAAGCAAGGGCCAACTATCTTTATTTGACTGAGACCATCTCTTAAGAATGTAAACAAATTTAAGCAGCATGAAAATATTGTTCTGAATTATGAAAAGGGATGGCAGGCAGAGAAAGCAAAGAATAATTAATAAGAAAGTAGTTTATAGTGTCATTATTCAAACAGAATGAGATACAGGCAAGAAAATCAGATTGTTAGCTCTGTGGGACAGGGCCCATCTTTCTGTATGCTGTCCTGCACATCTCAACTCATGAGTTTTACTTTTTTTTTTGCCTGACTCTCCTCCCCACCCCACTGGGAGGGAGAAGAGTGAGCTAGCAGCTGCATGGTGCTTAGTTGCTGGCTGGGATTAAACCACAACAGATGCTTATATAGCATTTAACACCACAAAAAAGAATCTCAGTGGGGCCTCTGCAAACTAGCATGATATAAACAATAATAAAGCAAAACTGGACAGCAGATACTGCATTTGAAGATAAACCTTGCCACCCAAAAATCACATCTCTTCTCAGAGCAAAAAGAAGAAAAGGAGAGCAATGGGGACTAGAGAAGAGTTGCCCTGAATTAATTTTCCTACTTTCTATTCTCTTCCTTCATAAGTCAAAATGAAAACTTCCTCCCCTGAAATATTTCCATCCTTGGAGATATTCAAAAGCTGTCTGGACATGGCCCTGCACTGCTTGCTGTGACCCTGCTTCATCAGGTGGGTTGGACAAAGTGACCTTCAGAGGCCCTTTTCAACCTCAACCATTCTGTAAATCTGTGAAAATACTTCTGTTCAGAATTTCTAAGTCAGTCATATATTCCATCTGTTCAGCTGTTTTACAGTTTGGAGATGGAAGGGGTCGCTGGGACAGAACTGACAGTTTCTAGGGTTATGACTGGTCTGAAAACAAGGACCCATGCCAGTGGGAGCATACATTTAGGGCTAGGTATCTGGAGATACCAGAGATCAATGGACTAGGATTAAATTTAAGATTAAGGACAAAGGAGACAGTGATACAGAGTCAGGACAAGCCTTGCAAGCCAGGACCTGGGATGCTGTATTACTAGAAGTGAGAGTGAAGAACTGAAAGCCCATGATATGCTTTGTGCTAGCACTGGTAGGAAGAACAAAATAATAACAAAATAATATTGTGGTCAAACAAACACAAATGAAAATTACAAAATAAATGGCTGAAGAAACCACTGAGCCAATCTGTTCCACAGGCAGTAAATACAGGTGCTGCAGCTGTTACTGTGGAGACTTCCAAAGCAGTCCTGCATCAGGCCCTGCAAACTCTAGTGGGAGGCACTGATGAGAAGTGGTGAGTGAGAAGAGACAATTTGCAACAAAAAGACAAAGGGCAAGGAAAGGACAAGATGATGATGAGAAAAACTGGAAAGCACTAGTCATGTCATTGCCACAGATGGTGTAAATATGTGAAGAATGCAGCAGAGGTAATACGAAGAAATACAATGAGAACAGAAGAAGAAAACAACAGAAAGATGAATAGAAAAATGATGAAAGGAGACAGGAAAAGAGAGCAACACTTTTCTGCCTGCTCTCTTCTGTGCTACTTTACTAAACAACATTCTTCTGTCCACACTGCAGCATACCGTATGCACTTCCAGACCCTAGAAACTAACCTCCAGCATTTGTAGCAGCTGCTTTTCCTTAACTGGCTATTCAGGGTTGCATACATAAGACAGAGATTCCATCTTTTCTCATTAAGAAACTACAAATAGAAGAAATAGGGAAAGATTCCAGGTTTTCATTATGCTGTTGCAAAAGCAGGCCAAAGACAAGAATAGATATTCTGACCATATAAAGTTTATAAATTGCACAATATTTACTAAGGATAACAGACTATAATTAACACAAATTCCATAATACTGAGGTTCACAGTAATCATGAGATCAAGACTTCTTTTTTTCCCCTGCCTCTAGTAGTCTCCAAGTTCTGTACTACATTAAAAAGCCCATCTATTTATTTGGCTCTGGAACCACCAGTCATGTCTTTGCTGAAGATCCCTGGCAGGAAGGTAGCAATAACACAAGAAGAAAGAATAGAACAATAAATGTTGACAGCAGATCCAGAACTCCGTACAAATACTCCAAAACTGTTGATAAGTTATTTTCTTCTTGAAATTCTTTTTTCATAAGGATGTAATTTCTGGTGATTTACAACACTGTGGTTTGAGCACCAGCAGGTTAGTGTGGGCATTTGATTAATTATTGCTGGACTTCTCTGCCTAAATAAGCATCAGACCATGAGCTTTCAATTTAAGAACAGTGTTGGGCTGATAGTTGCTACTCAGGGAAGATGCATAAATTGCCTGTCACCAACTGGAATGGGGTCTAATATATATGAATGGAGCTGATCTGACTAATCCATACTAGGAGCTAATACAATGAGACAGTCTTTCATACAGGAGGATATCCTACCAGCACAATACAGAGTGTATTGGGGAGCTTCCTGAAAAGTTTTGTTCTCTTTGGGTAATATGAAAATAGCTCCTAAAATCATCAAATGTGCCAATCGGACTTCCCTATGGGCCAAAAAAAGTACTGGAAATGAGTAGCTGAATTGTCTGATACAGAATACTACCTCAGGTAAAGCTGCAAGAATGAAGGTTATTTTGTGTCTCCAACTTTATGTGAAGAATAGCAAAGGGTGAACAAATCTGTTTGATTTTGTACTGGAACAGACTAGAAGCTCAATAATGGTGTTTCAGCTATGGGGGGAAATAACTTTCAGCTAAAGGCTTATACGAAAAAAATTGAAAGTGGTACAATCCACAAGATCATCTCCGCTCATCTTTGAAGGTTTCTCATGGCTATGCTATTTTTGGATCAAACCATATCCTACCTGCCCAAAGTCCCAAGCAAACCCTGCCACCCCTGAAAAAAACCAAAACCAAAACCCCATGCTGAGACATGTTATGCCATTCACTGAAATACTGCATCTCAGAACGGGCACACTTTGAATCCCAGAGTTCTTGTTTTGATCTTAGCAGCTAAAATGTCCTGAGCTCAGAGTATCTGTCCCTCAGGGACATTAGTTTTTGCTTTCAAGATTGAAAAGGTCTTCAGCTCCCTTCAAGCTCTCAGCTCTGATTTGTACACACAGAAATCACACATACGATTATATGTATGAACTTTCATGCGTATAAACATAAAAAGATGAAAAGTGCTGTATTAACTGTACTAAAATCATAACAATACAGTCACACATGTCAAGTCAGTGAACTGTTCAGTATGGAAAAAAAGAATTGGATTCAACAGTTGTTCTGTCCCATAGCGACAAATGGGCAACGGGGCATCCTAAGACCATTGCTCCACTGGGGACACAGTTCCACGAGCTGCTTTGGGCAGATGTTTTCCAGTGCTTATGACAAAGATCTTGGCTGGATCACAAGCCTCAGCTTGGTTCTTGGAAGGCAGTAAAATAAATGAGTACAATCACACAAATTTCAAAGTTGAGACTTACCCAGAAAAACTTGGGACTTACCTGCATGAATGCAAATCTGCTCTCCTGTGATAGAGATGAAATACAGCTGCATATACATCGGGGTGGGATTTGTGTTGTTTCTGCATTGTTCATCGACTGCTGCTTTCAACTTTCAGAAATCTGGCCATTCACAATAATATTTATCCTGTTTTCACAATCATATTAGGAACAGATGAGGTAAGACCCAGATTCTAACAGCAAAATTCTGAACCAATTCTCAAACCTGGTATTTCCTACAAAGCTATGGACCTCTGAAATCCAAGAGCCAGTCATAGAAACACCAAGCATAGGGACTTTGGGGAGCTAAGACACTTCTGCCTGGGTAAAACTTCTTAATAATCCTAAATAATTTGATGCTTTGCAAAATGTTTCTGTTCTTATAAAGTTAACTTTGTTCACAGGCCAAAGTTATGCTAAATATCTCTTAAAATTTAGGCACTTACTCTGCTGTACTGAAAACTTTTTTTTACAGACATGTTTGAAACTTGTCCTTAAATTTAGCCTCATAATTTGATTGTGCAATTTATTTTCATTTCCATGACACCATATGCTCTGATGTCCCAGGTACAGAATCATGGTTGAATTATATAACAAGAACTAAACCTGTGTGCAGATATGCACGGAGGAGAGGACTAAGTTAATAATATTTTCTTCTTGTTTTGCACTGAATTTTTCAGTGCTAACCACATGATTTTCTTCTGTTTCCTATTCAGAACAAAGACTCATAAGCAATACCTTTAGCCTGTTTAATTTCATTATAATTTTGTTCTCTCAAGTGAAGACAGATAAATTTACCTTATTTTATTCAAATACTGCATTCAAGTTTAAGCATCAAATATCAATATCTAATATATATAATATATGATCGAATATATAAAATATGTAATTATAAATCATATTATATACAATAGATACCACACATATATATTATATCTATTCTAGATATAATATCTATTCTAGATATAATATCTATTCTATTCTATTCTATTCTATTCTATTCTATTCTATTCTATTCTATTCTATTCTATTCTATTCTATTCTATTCTGGTATCTAGTATATGATTCATTGTGTTCCTTTTCTCTATTTGCACTGTCATATTTAAAATCTGTTTAAATCCTTCTTCACTATGCAAATGAGCGGTTCCACTACAGTAAGCACAATCATGCATAAAGTGAGCAGGGTTTGCAAGAGCCTACAACAGTTTCTACAGTTAAACTTGAGAAAGAGAAGATGGTCCACTGGCCAGCCAGGAACCTAGGGGCAGAAACTCACCTTTTTTCTGTGGTACACAAGTCAAACGACTTAAAAATATGTGGCCATTTTCTCTGTGTCAGATTAGGAAGACAATATAACACCCATACTTTCATCTGGTACTGTAATATTCCTTAAAGATTATGGGGTAATCAGCTTATAAAGAGAATCAACCTAGAATTGCAGTTCTCCAGTTCTCCAGTTTTTCAATCAATGGAAAGTTTTCTTTAAAAAAAGAAGATAAAACAGTCAAAAACCTTACTGCAACTAATAAAAATACTGCTCTTTCTCAAAAAGATTCTGTACTAAGGTTAATCATCCAAAACCCTTTGGTTTGGCTTTCATCCCTACAAGGGTCATTTATTAATTTCTCCTTGCCAAAACAAAAAGATCCTTGGCTTGAGAAAGTGGCATTAAAAGTAAGCAGAATGCTATTTATAAACAACCTCAAATGGAACATGTAAGTACAGAACTACCCGCAGCTCTATACAAACATCCCTGAACTCAAAAAACAGGCATACCTGAGGTGGACAAGCTTGGAGTATTCAAGCAGAAAACAGTCCTTGAAACGCTGCCAGCCTAAATTTCAATCTCCCCTCAACTGAGCGTCAAGGTTATTCGTACAAAGATTATGTAAGCAACTGCTGATGCTTCTTTACAAGTAAAGCTGTGTAGGAACTTAGAATAATCATTACCAGTGTTATTAAAAAGCAGCTGGATTGCTTGCTTATTCCTTTATCTTCATTTTTTAAAATCAAGAAGTAATAAAAAAAGGTAATAAAAAGATCAGTCTTTGTGGGCTCAGAGCTTCATACTATTACACAACCAAGGATAGGAGAGGGGAAAGAGTGTTTCCTTTCTTGTCAGCTATCTGCAAATGGAGTCTGTGGAGCACTGATGCTTCAAAATACTCTAGATCCTTGCAATAAATTTGTTTTGCTAAAAATTAGTAACTTGGAATCGTAAGAAACAGGTTCTAGTTTGACACAGCTGTAAAAGTTTATCATGGATTATTTGATAAACCTTCAAAGTGAATGTTTCCCACTGTTTCCCATTCCATCAACAAGAATTGTACTACCAAATTAAAACTTGTCTTCATTTTCACTTGGAAATATTTTCAAATTCTGCCTGAAACAACATAACAGGACAAATGAACATTTGATATTTTTTCTAGACAACAAATTTAGATGAATGATTACAGAAAGATTTTTTTTTTTTTAAACCTGAAAGACTACAACTGTGGATATACTGATCCCGATACATGGATATACTGGTCCTATACCAATCCACAACAGCAAGCTTCATCCACTTCACCCTCAGTGTTGCTCTGTAATCATTAACTTAAGAGAATCAAGTCCTCAAGTAAGAGAAGGTCTTAGTTTGCTATTCGGTATTCAGAATGACACCAGTCCAAATAGCCGCTCTAATGAAATAGTGCTGGATTTGAGTGCAGTGTGTGGCACTGTCATGAAATCAGTAGCAAGCAACAGGAACAAATTTCACAGTATGTTTAAATTGTCTCACACCTCCATCAGTTGTTCTTTCCTTGAAATGATCGACAGTCTTTCCCTCTCTTTGTTAGCAAGCTTTAAGACAGTACTACTTCGGTATACTATTTCCACTCAAATGCAGAATCTAAATGATTTGATTGTTTGGGGGCCTGATGCACTGCTGACTTGTTGTACTACGCCTGTAGACAGGAACAGTGTTCATTGGTCTTAGATACAAAAACAAAGCAAGAACTGGCCAGATGAATGGTATGACTTAGCTGTCCTGCAGAACATCAGAGAGCGAACAGACAGCTTTCTACACATCAGGAGAGAGCCATCCAGTTCTCCCTTCATAAAAATTCTGTAGAATGACCTTCAGATCCATGCTGGCATCAAACATTTTGGTCTGTGGCATCACTGATATCCTCCACATGCCCTATTATGAAGTATTCCCTGTGTGTAGACTTTGTGCTGGCTGTTGACTTCGGAGTGAGTTTGACTCAGTCCTAAAACAGAATCAAGAATGACAAAAAAAAAAAAAAAGAAGCCTTTAAAATCATGTTGGAATTACAGGAGGAAAAGATGCAACAAACAGAAACAAAAAAACCCCACAGCACTTTGCTGGATTTCTACTGTTTAAAGGCCCAGAAAACGTTTCCAAGCACTGGTCCAATATAACTACTCATCCCAGCTATTTTTGTTCAATCCCTTCCCTATTTACTGAGATCACCAGTAATGGGAATGGCAGCATCTGCCTACTGGAAGTTGGCCTGGATCCAATAATTTGGACCACATAAGAACTGCTACTTTAATGATATTTGCCATACTCCTAGTTTGGACCTTATGAAAAACAAATATGAGACAGGCTTCAAGTCCTGTCATGAATCTCCCAACCACCAGCCACCATCATACCCTATTATTAATGTCTGAAAATACCAGAATATTATCCTTGTACAATGCACTAAACATACTAATTCAGTTTTCTGTTCAGTCTCCTTTATTTTATTCTAAGAATGCCTTTTCAAGACAAGTCTTTTCTGTATCTTCATTATCATGAACTGAACTTTCCGTTTCCAGATTCTTAGTCCTTAGAGATTTATTACTTGATGTTTTACCCAACATTTGCAGCTTGGCCAATTCACATTCCAGCTGATAAAAAGACCCCATTAGGATTCAGAAGCAAGAGGTTATGTTAAAGTATGGCAGGAAAACTATCTTATTTATCTTATTGATGTTTCCTCAAAAGATAAGCCCTCTAGATGTGTACTAAAAAGCATACCTGAAAACATCAAACCAGAAAATTACTTTAACAAATTCAGACTCTTGATTGTCAATAGAAAAAGCTGAATTCCTTGGTCAAAGGGGCAGCTTTGCTCTGAGCAACTCTACAAACTCTTCTGTGTACACTGGCTCATATCCCAGCCTATTCATATCAATTAGACCATTGTTGCACGCAGGCAGGACCAATCCCTCAACATGACTTCATTATGATGCAAGTCTCAGCAATTAAAAGAGTTAGAGGGTACAGTTAAAATGGAAGCGCAGCTTTCCTTCAGACACCTAAGGGCAGGGATCATTTCTTGCCCCATGTGGGATCACTGTATGGCATAGTAATTACTCTCTGCTTTGTGGAAGCAAAACTCTTTTTCCATTCTTTTTTGAGAAGTAACTCTTTAGGATCAATCAAGCCACTATGCAGCTGAGATTAGGTAGAGCATGAGAATAAACCACTCACTTCTTTTGAATAACAAGCAAGGATTTGGCTCCCAAGTATAAAACTTCCATAAAACTCTTCTTAAAGAAAGCAATTTAGCTCACTTGGCCTACATACCCCAATGTGAATACTATTCAAAATATTCATATATGCACTACTTATAGGCACTTCTGACAGAGATGAGGTCGCTGAAGTGCATGTCTGCTTCCTAGATACTACCTGATCTACATATGGCAAGCAAAGGGGGAAGATATGACCATAAAGGCATGAACCTCCAATGGCAGTCCTTGGTCTGTGCACCCTTGGTAAAAAGAATCTGTTGACTCTTGGTCAAAGTACTTTTAAGGTGTCCTATGTATGTAATGAGCAATATTTTTTCAGTTCCATCTGTATGGACATGTGTGCAAAGAGCCCACTCAAAGTGCATTAAAAGCCTGCTAGGAATTGCAAACTGCTGTACAGAAAATCTGTGGCACAAGTCTTTTAATTTTAGAATAACTTGAGTTGCAGTCATTCTGACTCTCATCCATGATGTTGCTTATACTGCTCCTAAAGGGAGGGGAACAGACTAATCAGTTAGAAGTCAATAAAAAAAACCCCAAACAATAACTTGAGAGCTGGGTGAGAAAAAGCTTTCTAATCTGCAAAACACAGACCTTTCATAAATGTTTATGGTATCAGCTAGAATAGGCAGTAACCATAATAATCTGGGAACTCAGCAGGAAAGTCCTCTGCAAACACCTGTACTGGATGAATAAAAGCAGCAACTTGAAACTCGGTTTACCACATTAAGTGAGTATCTTATCTAGTCCACTCTTCTGGACTGGCTCTCTAAGGCTTCCTTCTTGGTGCAGATCCATTTAAGAGCCCCTTGCTCAAAGCACTTACCTGAGTCTTGAGACACCAGATTCAAATAATTATGAACCTGGCAGAACTGAAACTGGAAATGGATCGCCTGCAACACATTAAGTAGAAACTTGGCTGTTGATATTCTGAAGAATAATTAACACAATGACATCATACATGTAATACATTATTTTACATTTCCACCCAAAGTGTAGGGATAGCATTTGGAAGATGTTTATATTACAGATAGAGATAAACCAAGAAAAATTAATAGATTTTCTAGTATCTGTTCAGAAATGCAGGCATGATTTACATTTCCATTTATAACCAAACAGGCTTGATTTAGATTTAAAATAAAACCTCTTTATACTAATGGCAGTGAAAAACAAGAATAAGTATATGCACAAATCCTACTGATACCTATTTTCTGTCTTGACATGGCTACAGCAATGGAAAGGAGTTTGGAGTAAACAAAGACGAGCCCTAGGGAGTTTTGACACAGACTTTGGAATGATCAGGGCTGTGTATATTGGATATGGCTCTGAACCATGCAAGTTGGTAGGAAATTTTTATTAGAATGAGAGAAAGATTAAACCACGTACTTAATTCCTTGGTAGTAATCAAAATGCTCATGCTAGAAATGCCAGACTGATAACACCTTCCTATGTTTTCTATTAAGATTCCAGCAAGGTTGACCTCTTGCAGTTTCTGCAGAGTATGTAAACCCTGTGAATGTTTTAACCAATACAGTTTTAATCTAATACAGCACTGCAAATGCTGAAGAGCCTGTAGGCAAAGAGGCAGATCATTCAAATGTAAAAACAAATTTGACTGGAGTCTAAACAATGTTAGCCTCTGTTGTAAACTACAGCTTTCTTTTGACATGGAAAGAGAGAATGCATTTTGCCGAAAGGGAATTAGCTTGGAAAGCCTTTGTAAATGATACTGCTATGAAAATAAACTCAGTCCCCCAGCCTTAGTTTCACAGCTGTGAATGAGAAACCTAACAGATCATGCCCCATGTCATGAGTACTCATTAGCTTTTGGCTACAGCCCATGTCTTGGCCTTGGGATATCACAAGAACTAAATCACTGATGTCAATTATTTCTCTCCATGATGACACTGAAGCTCTTTGCAGTGAGATGCTATTAGTGTTTGTAGTGTCCTTTCTAATAAATAATAATTTCTGGAAACACTCTACTGCCTTTACACTTGCATTTTGTCAGCTGTAATTTCTCAGTCTTTCTTTTCCTTCCCTATCATCATGCCCAGCTTAAATTTCTCTCTTTTTTTTTACAGCTTGGAAGGTTCACAGTGATCTGGCCTCATTCATCCCTACCAGCATCTCCTTCTGCTCTAGCTACTTTTATTTTGGTATCATGATGTCCTCAGCCTTTTTTTCATGTACTCTTCCAAGGGAAGGCAGACTGAGCTGAGCACCTCTGTTCCCCTGTTGGGGCATGATGACTTGGGTAATTCAGAAACCTACATGGTCTTTAGCTAGAAATGGACATTTACACATTTATTCTCACTTTACATGCCAAACTGCTAATCACAGAGCTCTCACTGGTTCTGGACTAGCCTCCAACTCAAAGGTTAGCATGAAGAGTATTTAATTTTTTGGGAAAGGGGAGAAACCAATTTTTCATAATTTGATATATGATAGCATGAGAAAAAGACGGGATAGAACTTCTGGATAGGAGTTATTATTTGCAAGTTATATATATAAAAAAAAAAATCCAAACATTAAAATAAAAATTAAATGGCAAGCCTTTTGCATAATACTGAAATGCAGACAAAAATCTGCAGTTATAAGAAAACTAAGAAAAAAATCTTTTCCTTATCAAGAATCCCAGAGGTCTTTGAAAATGAGTGATTTAGTTAACTCTGTATATGCAGAAAACCTTGATAGCTAAACAGTTCCAAATAATGTTTCAGCCTCAATACTTATAAAATGAAGTTTAAAATTGTCCTTTCTGTTGCTCAATAATTCTAAAAGTTACCCCTACTTATTAGACACATTTCTATACTATACTATTAAAATATCATACATTCGACAAATTAGTAGCAAATAAATCATAACAAGGACAACTGAGTCACCTTGCTATTCTTGATCACGTTATTATTCAACCAAAGTACATTCAGCTTTGTCAGGGCTTCCCAATTTTCAATTCTGGAAATGTTATTGTAACAAAGATAAGCTTTTTGCAAATTTACACATTTTCGTAGACCACCTATTTTCTGCAATAGAAGAAGTAGTATTACTTTGCAACAGTGAAAACCAGAATGTTACTCTTTTTTTGTAAAGATGACATCACGCAGAAAATTGTTAGGTAGTTCCAAATAATTTGAGACCACACCCTCTATGCAGAATTTTGCTGATTTAGAAAGTTTTTCAATTAAGCCAATAAAGAAAAAATAGTAGCAGCTACAACGATACAGGATAAATGATTATGTGGTTTTAAATACGGTATTCTTTTAATGAAAATGTCTTCATTCTAATCAGTTTCCTGGAAAAGGTTTCAATGTAATTATTCTAGTTTTTAAAAATATTGTTTACAATGAGAGAGAAAAAAATCTAACAATAGGTGCTAAATTACAAAACCCAGTAATATTTAACAGACACAACTCAATCCATATCTAAAATGGGATTTTTGGATACTCAAGTAAAGAAGTGCCAGATCTTGACTCCCTCTAATAGTGCCTTCTTCCTTAACCAGACAAATGGAGTGTTTGTGAAAGAATATGATAATCATTTTAAGGGACTGGAAATTGGCTAGAAAGAAAACTCATAGTTAACTTACCACTAAACAGCATTCAGCAATCCACAGCTCTGAGCAACAGGCAATACTCCAGGTCTGAACACTTCTGAATATTTTGTCCAGTGAAAATGAGAGTAATTACATTTGGGCAATGTTTCATGCTTACAATTCTGGGATAACCTGAGAAAAACATCCCCAGTGATGTTGTTTTTATCCCTCTTGATCAATATTCTCATAAAACAATCCATCAGATGCGTACTGGAAATTAAATGCAACTGTTATGCTCTTTAAGTCCATGCTGTAAGACATATATTATGAAGTAGAATGTCTTGCTGCTATTACAGTAAATTAGAGATAGCTGCTTAACATCAGTTGTGTCTTTTAAAACCTCCTCTGCAGTAAAAAGTGTTTGCAATGTTGGCCATGTTCAGTGAATAGTGGTTAAGTAGCTTGTTTCTGCTCCCAAAGCACATTTGCAAAGTATTACATGAATGCTTCATATCACATCTCAGAATGCATCTTCAATTTAAGACAAAATAAATTTTAAATTCTGCTAATTTTAATGGATATCAAAACCTGGAAATCCATAAATTTAACTACAAGTTAGTGTATGTATGTGTATAAATATACACACATACCTATACATACATATATACGTATAAGCATAAATGGTGTAAGCTTTATCAGTCTTGCAGTTTTCCACTTCTAGAGTGGATGTATCAAGTAAATATAATACAAGCTTTTGGCCAGGAAAAAAATAAAAAGTTTACATGGAATTTCATGGTGAGATTCAGTTTGAGATTTAAGACACAAAGCATATGTATCCATGTGTGCCTCTTGCTTAAGTTCTCATTTTAGTCAAGAGATTTAACCAATATAGCCAAAGGATCCTGAAAAGCCATTCAGATGATGGTGTTTATGCTACACTAAATTGACTTATTCTGTAGGTTCCCTTGAGTAAGGATGGAATTCAGAGTTCTGTTGCAATTTCAGAGACGTATCTTGCAGCAGCTGTTCCAGTAGGTGCAGTTTTCTAAATATCCTCCTAGATATGTGTGGTGTCTAAGATACCTGGAGGCAGGTAAAGTGGCACTAGACAGCTGCATCTACGGAGCTGAACCCTATCCTTGATTTCCACTGACTGTAAAGGCAGCCTAGAAATGAAATGCCTATCTAGACAACTGCCTGTAGCCACCTAAATCAAGGTGTGTTAAATTGGAGTGGGACGCCATTTTAAAACTCTAACCAGTTCATAGTAGACAAAATTTCCAGTTAATCACCCAATTCTGCTCACAATGATCCCGTCTACAAAAATGCAGGACCACATCAAAACTGTGAGATTTATTTCGATGAAATGTATATAACAAGCTTATTTCTCTTTCTGTATACAAATATTTCTGCAGGGCATTTCAGAAGAAACAGAGACAATAGAGTTGTACCTTAAAAGTCATTTACTCTGAAGATACTCTCTTGAGAGATTCTCATTTCTGCATCCTAACTGCTAACATGTTTCCCATGGTTCTGAAACGTTCAGATCACAACAAACTGTTATTAATGCATGACCTACACCACCTTTGGGGCATTCCAGAATGGAAACCTACCTACAGATGGTATCTCTAGAGAAGCAAAAATAATTGTATATTCTAGCAAGGGCATTGGTATTTATAGGCGTACCGAGAGAAAAAAAAAAAAATTAAGATCAAACCCAAATTAATAACTTAGCAGCTCCATAATTGTTTCTACAAGGTTCTGGGTTTGGTTATCAGTTGTATCACCTTTTGAGTTCTCTGCAGTGACTATTATTTCTTATTCTCTTCTTAGAAAAAGTACAGTAATATTATCAGCTGTGTAGCCACTCACATAATTTGAAAGTCACTGAATTTCCAAGAAGTTTGGAGAGAAGATCTAAATTCCTAACAGACTGAATTCCAGAATCTGTTATTTCTAATGAAGTCAGAATGGAGATTGCAAGAGAAAAAAAGCTAAAAATGCCTGGAATACTTTATTACTTTTTTAATTAAGTTTTTTAGATTCTAAAGGTGCAGAAATTAGTATAGTACAAGTTATTCTGACCCACCTTCATAAGGAAGGGTGAGGAATTGTGCCCCTTTATCCTTGGACTCAGGAAATTGTATTTGCACAAAGCATAAAGATGCCATAAAAAAGAACCAGAGCTCGTAATTCACCAAAATCCTCAATAAAAGCCCCTCTGCATGTTGGTGAAAATATATCAGAATGTAATTGAGAGTATAAAACCTCTGCTACAATGTTTTAAGTAATCACACAGCTGCTGCAATTATTCTTTAGTTATCAAACACTTATTAGTAATAAGAAAATGATTGTTACAGTTGGTTTGGTTTTTTTTTTGAAAGCACTTACATGGTTTATTAACCACAGTATGCACAAACTACACACTTAACACACCACATCCATGCTGCTTTTGAATTTCTGCCACAGTACTTAACAACTCACAGCCTCTCTAGTGAGTAATTTAGGACAGGAAACGAAGAATAAATTTTTCCAGTTACAACGGCTACGGAAATTACATTAGGCCTGAATTAGATTTGGGTGGATGCCTGCTCCTCTGGGCTCCGGAGGGGAGCTCAGGGCGTTGTTCTACCTCGCCTAGAAGGGACACGCCTCTGCCAGCATCCCTTCCAGATCGCTGCCTGCACAAACAGTTTCCATATAGCACATTCCCACGGAGCACTGCCCCGGGTTTGCCCACCGCGGCCTGGCGAAGGCCCCAGCGCGGGGCAGGGCCGAGCCCCAGGGCGGCCACTGACCCACCCCCGCCCCGGCCCAGAGAGCCGCCGGCGGGGT